TTTGTAACCACATTTTAAGTGGGGAGGGAAGGAAAAACACAGAAGGCTAAGAATGCAGGAGAGGGCTATAACGTGAGGAAAGGAAGTCAAAAGTTCCCCCCCACCCACCCACACAAGCCAGCTAGCTCTCTCTCTCTCTCTCTCTCTCTCTCTCTCTCTCTCTCTCTCTCCCTCCCATCTGCATGTTTTCCGGCTGCCTGATATTTATTTTTTTTAATTGCCTTGACAGAAGAAAGCATTTTAACTGCATTAAGAACTATTTAGCAGCGAAACCTAAGCTTTGCCATCCCTTAAGAGGTACAGACACTGTAATCTTCCAGATCGCATGAATTTGCAGGCAAAACACTGTTTAAGGATTTCATCCTTTTAAATTGAAGAAAGCATATTTGAATGCTGTGTGTCCCCAAAAACAAAAAGCAGGAAATCAAATCAGAATTTTAAGCTGAACCTGTAATCTCTCTTCCCTTCACAAACATTGTTCCCTCCGGAGCACAGAGAAAAAAGCAGACACTTTGCTTGCCTGGAGGGGAGGGGCTTTCCCTGCTCTTTGTTCCGTTTCAGCAAACACAGCAACGAAACAGAGGAGGGTGGGCAGTAAGACCCTGAGGCAGAATGCAGGAAAGCTGCCACTTCCTCTTTTCCCCTCTGCTTGCCTGGAGGGGAGGGGCTTTCCCTGCTCTTTGTTCCGTTTCAGCAAACACAGCAACGAAACAGAGCGGGTAGGCAGTAAGACTCTGAGGCAGAATGCAGGAAAGCTGCCACTTCCTCTTTTCCCCTCTGCTTGCCTGGAGGGGAGGGGCTTTCCCTGCTCTTTGTTCCGTTTCAGCAATCGTGAAGCCTGATTTGATTTTTGTCTGATTTTTCGGCTCCAGGGACCACACATTCGCTCCATAACACGCACAGACATTTCCACTTCCTTTTCAGGAGAAAAAATCTGCGTGTTATAGAGCGAAAAATACGGTAGATACTAGTCTAAGGATGGAAAACGTGGTGCCCTCCACAGTTTGTTGGAACTCCAACTCCCAACAGCCTTGACCACTGGTCATGCTGGCTGGGGCTGATGCGAATTGGGAGTCCAACATTTAGAGGGTGACAGTTCTTCATCCGTTTCGTGTATGTTCCCGTGGAGAGAAGTTTTTGTCCTCCCTCTCATATAAAACTAGAACTAAGGGTCACTCAGTGACCAGTAGTAGGTTCAGGACTCATATCTTAGGGCTTCTTAGGGATTCACTACTATTATATGTAATGATTAGCACCAGCTTAGATTATTGAGTGTGTCTGTGTGTAAGAACAGGGGAGACCTGCTAGATCAGACCAAAGGCCCAACTAGTCTAGCATTCTGTTCTCATAGATGCCAATGAGGAGCCCACAAGTGGGACATGTACATAAAGGTACTTTCCCAATCGCGAACCCCAGCAACTGGCATTCAGAGGCATACCACCTCCAATAATGGAGGCAATATCACCATGACTACTGGCTATTATTCTCCATGATCTGCTTGATCCCCTTTTAAAGCTGTCCAGGTTTGTGGCCATTTTAATGGTGACTGCATTTTAAACCATTTGACTTATTTTGCACCTCTCGGCTTAATACTCAGATCAAAATGTAACGACCTTTCAAAAATCCCAAGGGCCCCTGGCTGGCTAGGAATGCAAGAGTCCAAAAGCTTTTTCTAGCAGAGTTGGCAAAAACTTTACAGCTAGTTCAGCAAAACAATTAGCCATCACTTCTACTGGAGGACTAAACCTCTCAAAAAGGCTACTCAGGCCTGCTGGGTACCACACCTCTATCTTCATGCCCTCCACTTTTTCTGTTGCATCTTCCATCCTAGTCCCTGCCAGACAAATACCAAATCATTGGGTGGAATAAATTCCAGGAATATTATCTGAAACAAACCCAAGCAAATATTTTTGATTGGCTTCATGTGTTTTCTGTTTCCTTAGCACGCAGTATACACAACCATATAAAAGCTCCACAAACCAGACAGATAAATTAATGGGAAGCCAAAGCTGGCCTTTAAAACTATTAAGGGCAATGCATGTTACCTTTTGAATTAAAATCTGACCACCTTTGACAAAAATCTCACCATGACTAAGATGACAACTGAAACCAGGTCAGAGATTAATGTATGCAAAGTTAACTTAGAAGCATCCAGGACACAGAGAGTATGTGTGAATACTCATAGAGAGTATGTGTAAAATTTTACGTTCTGTAACAGGGAAAGAGACAGGCAGAGGCTTGGTGTCTATCATCTTAATACAGACTGGTAACCGTTTTAAATTTAAATGAAAGCAGCAGTACCAAGCATCTGAATGCTATCAAGTTAGGCATCAGTCACAAAACCTCATTTTTTCCTTCATACTCCTACAGCTATGGAAGCTGTATGACAGGGACACTTAAATACCTTCCATCGTCATCATCTATTTCCATAGAGTTGAATATCCACTTAGCACTTTATAATAAATAAAAATTCACAGCAGTCACTGTATGCAGCCAGTAAGATGGAGACAAAAGGAAGAGGAGGATGGAAGGACTAGGGCAAAAGCTTTAAAATCTTTGCTCCATACAGAGAAACACCAAATTTAACAGTAAGAAATATTACATAATATAATACACAGAGAGAGATGTACAACATAAAAAGGCAACTCACAGAGTCCTACAACCCCACCCTCGAAAATTCAACTTGAGCAGGTACAGACACAACTATGAAGATGCAAGCAGGCCATGACAATTAGCAGACAACTCCATGAAACCCAGTGAGCATTTGCACTAAAGCCATCAATTCCAAAACAGTATTTTTTGACCTTCTGCCCCATCCCTGATTAAGCTCCTAGAGGACTGTCGGATCATCATCCCAATATGGCTGCCCCGTAATTGTGCTGTGCTGGATATAGAGGAAAGGGGGGTGGGGAAAACGCATCAAAACAAAACGGCAGCTGTTTATGGCAGAGAAGAGGAAAAGCTGGGGGGAGAGGTAGGGAAAAGACAAACACAGAGGTTCCTGCATTTCCCAAACAATTCACTGCTGTAGAAATTGGGGTTGGGGTAGAGACAGAAATTAATATAGAATGAAGGAGAATTCTGCTTCAAACCCCGCCCTGCTTAAAAGATGAAGCTGCAACAGAGCTTCAGCGAAAAAGGATGCAAACATTGAAAACTGCTCTCTTAAAATAAATATGAGGCTACGGGTCCCACTCAGGAGAGGGTTCTCTCAGAGCATTCACAGTGGGGAAACTGGAGGCAGAACTGATGGAGATGGGGGGCTAAGATTCAAAGGGATTTCTTTATTGAGGGAAGTATTTACTGAGATTTGCAGAGATTCACAAAATATATCTGTGATGGAGCTAGGGAGCTATGAAGTATAAATGCTTTATTTTGAGGGGTGTCACTGACAACCACCATCACAGCAACTTCCCATGATGGTTATGTTGTTGGGATCTTAAATTAGATGTCACTAGGGAAGCGGGGGGGGGGGGGGACTGGAGAGAGGGAGATAAATAAAGAAAAAAGAAAGATGATTCAAATTTGGCTAGATTGAGAGGCATTCTCTGCGAATATTTAGAGACCAGGCAATCAAGAGATCTCAAACTATGTATGGTCCCAATATAAAAATGCCTCTAGGAGGAACTTGGAATTAGTAATAAGAAGGGGGGACTGTAAGGAATCTCCATTTGGAATTGACTGGGGGGGCAGGGAGAAAAACTGGAATTGGCAAAGGAAAAGAAGTCAATAGGATGACGGGGTTGTTCCTAGTCTGCTCAAAGGAGAGGGAGGAGAGTGCAAGGAAATTGCTGATTACAATAAATATACAGTATACAAGAGACATGTTTATTTGTTTAGCTGCACAGATATATCAGGGCTGGAAAATCACAGTCTTCTAACTGCTAGGAATTTAAAGAGGTTTTTAGTTTCTAGCTATGTCTGTATCCTGCAGTTCAGCACACAATCATGTGAGTCAGTGATATACTTAGGCATACTTAATCCTTACCTTGTATATATACACAGCTATACGCATAAATTATGTGCTATTATCATACACACACCTCTGCCCCCATTCTCCCAATGACACATCCCATAGAGATTCCCACCCCCTAAATGCCCCAGCCAGCTAGGATCCAACAATATCTTTGGAGCACAGGTACTTTGAATTTAAAGGCCTCCTCTTGCCATCAGTGGAGCTAACACCTACTTAAAAGAGGCATAAATGGAAGGTCATTTGTAACATATGTATGTATTCCAGACCCTAACATTTGGGGGGGGGCAGGAAAAAGATGGTTTAAAAGCCAAATACATGATTATACTGAATATTAATTTGTTATTACTACATCTTGTATTGAGTTGATTATATTTTACTATGCCTCTGATGTTTGCAAGTGGCAGTATGAAAGGCAGTATGAAAATCATGATCATTATTGTTAACAACTATTACCATTTCACTACTAATACTAATCACACTTGGCCACCATCCTCTGGATAAGTCACTTAGGGTCATATGTTTGCCAGGGAGAAACAACCTCCCCCCCCCAATATGGATTAATATGGAAGGAGTGGGGTGTCATCACCTGACCAACCCAGGGATCAACCATATCCACCTTTGTGTACCCCATCCACCTCCACCCCCTCAATTGTGGGGGCGAGGGGGTGGCCGCCCACATAGGAGTCAGGCCATTTGGCCCAACAGCTCAGTATTGCCCGCTCCGACTGGCAGCAACTCTCCCGGGGAGGGTGTTCAAGACAGGCCAGCCCTACCTGGAGATGCTGCCAAGGGCTTTGGCCCTTTTGAGGCAGATGCTCCGACCGCGGAGCCACAGCCCCAATGGAGAATTTGGGGACAGGGCGGGGTGGGGAGGGGGAAGCCGGGATTGAGACCATATGGATGAAAAGGAAAGGGGGGAGGGAGGCTTCAAGGAGGGGCCCCTCCCCCACCAGCTCTTTCCCCTCCCTTCCCCCACCCTCTCACGTGACCAACAACCGCCCGTCCCGTCCCCCACCCCTTTTACCTCAGTGCAGTCAAGGGCGGAGGCGACACCGGCGCCGCCGTCAAATCAGCAGCCTGGCGGGGGACAACGAGCGGCGACGAAGCCAGCGGGACAGAGGCCGCCCAGCCCCATCACGGAGCCCCCAGGCCGGGGAAGAGCGGCATCACAGAGAGGCGGCGGGGCGGAGAGAGGGGAGAGAGAAAAGGGCGAGGATAACAAGAGGGACCGAACCGCCTGACAGGAGCGTCGCGGCTACACTGGCAAGAGAAGGGGCTGGAATCGATTCCCTCCACCCAGAGGGGAAGCCTCCGCCCCCGTACCCGCTCGACGCCCTCCAATCAGACGCGGGGAGATGTCGGCTCGCTGGGCGAATGCGGAAGCCGATAGGCGGCTTGAGCTGTCTGTCCTCAAGCCGAGGTGGGAGGGGTCTGTGGAAAGGATTCACCTGCCAATCTCGGGATGCCTCTCGGCCAATCCAATTAAGGAAAGGCATCGCGAAGGTGGGACGGCAGCGGCGGAGGCAGCCAATTAGCGTTCGAAAAAGGAATTATTTCTCTATACAGTATCTCTCAGAGCTCTGTCCTAAGAATGCTCCTCGGGAGTCCTTTTGGCGGCTGCGTAGGAATACGCGGGTGCTCCCTCTTGCGGAGGGAGAAAGTAAGCCGATGACGGAACCTTCCGCAGGGAGCTATAAAAAGGGAGGCGATGGAGTTCACTCCTACAGTAGATGCTTGTCCTTTTTTCTTTTTTTTACCTCAGTGGAGGGGAAATTCGGTGGAAGATTGTGCTTTTTATTGAGAGAGACATAGAAGGGAGAGCTTTAAGTCACGAATCTACTGGGGAAGCCGAGTTTTATCAAAGGGATTCAGACGTTTTAGGAAGATAAAGCCTGAGAGGGGCTCAGAGGAAGGGCGGAAGGAGCACTACCAGTTCACAAGTTACCCCTCCGCACACACACACGTGTAAAAATGAACGTGTGGATGCAGGAACCGTGTTTGCTGTCATAGAGAGGGGCTGTTCAGGACACTCGAGTTTTCTGAGGCTCCTGCCCTCACTAGTACACTTGGAACCAATCCCAAATTCTCTACTGTGTAAATGTGTGAAGCAACCTTGGGAGGCGAAGATTGGGTAGAAAAACTAAAGTAGAGGTTGCAAGAGGTCTAAAACATAAATATCACCCTTCTTTCCTCTAATGCCCCTTCAAGCATACCTATTTTAAAAACCTTACAGCTTTTAACTGGAAGGAAGTTGTAAGGGAGGATTTAAAATTCCAATAACTGAGTCAAATAGAGGGGGAAGATTAAATTACCACACATTAAATTACCACACATTTTTGTTGGTTCAGGATGATCACACCCGTTTCATCCTCAGGACCACTCTGTAAGTTTGGTTAGGCTGAGAGAGTGACTGGCCCCACTGGCTTTCAGATAAGCAAAAGCAAATGATGAGGATGCAATAAATGTTATAAAGGGGCTGATAACAAAATGTAAATTAGGAAGGGAAGAGCGTGGAGAGGGCATGGCTGTGGCTAGTGGAGTGATCTACATAAGGCAGTGCCAAAAGGGGGGCAAGTGGCTCCCCAAAACAAGGAGGTTGCTCACCACCCCATTGCTGAACTGTCATTAACATATACTTAGCCCTTTCTGTGTCCCCCATTTCCCCCCTCATAACACCATAGGCATAGCCATGGGTTTTTTTGGGGGGGGAGCAGAACTGAGCTATCTGTGACACAAGTGGTCAGTTCCTTCAGTTTTATTATTATTATTATTTACTTGATGGGGGGAGCTGCACCCCCGCCCCTCTCTGGCTATGCCCACGTGTAGCACCACTCATGGTATTAATCATCCTCCATAAGGTGCTAGGGATATGAGTAATGGAAAGGAAGTAAACCCTCTCTCCATCGCCACTATGCAGAAAATTTAAATAAATGGTTGAAGGTACTCAGGTGACTCAGGTACTAGAGGGACGCGGGTGGCGCTGCGGGTTAAACCACAGAGCCTAGGACTTGCTGATCAGAAGGTCGGTGGTTTTAATCCCCGCGATGGGGTGAACTCCCGTTGCTTGGTCCCTGCTCCTGCCAACCTAGCAGTTCAAAAGCACGTCAGAGTGCAAGTAGATAAATAGGTACCACTCCGGCGGGAAGGTAAACGGCGTTTCCGTGCGCTGCTCTGGTTCGCCAGAAGCGTCTTAGTCATGCTGGCCACATGACCTGGAAGCTGTACGCCGGCTCCCTCGGCCAATAAAGCGAGATGAGCGCCGCAACCCCAGAGTCGGCCCTAATTGTCAGGGGTCCCTTTACCTTTTATTACTCAGGTGATTATGGAGGGAAACAACCATTGCATGCTGAATGTCCTAGGTTAAGATGAGGATTAGTTCATAACTTCTGGCCTGTGGACCTAATCAGGCTTAATTTGACCTGTTTTTTCTATGCTTGATCCCATTTGTTGTTCCTTTCCAAGTGAAGTTTGCATCGGGTGCCAGGTTTAAACATTGGATCCTGATCAGATTCCCCCCAAGTGGATCTGATGCCTGCCAAACAATTTAAATGGTACCAAATGGAAACCGTGCTTGCAAGGAAATAATTGGGAGCACACACTGATCCCTCTGAAACGTGGCTCTTGGTTGGCATCGTTCGAATGGATGTTGAATGCAAGCCGCACTGCTTTTAGGTGGGGTTGAATCTACCTGAGCTATTGGCAGATGGTTGGTTCTGTCCACCAGTCAAATGTGGCCCACGGAGGGCTGACTACAGTTTAACCTGGCCCTCCAGTTGAAAGGGGTTCCTCATCCCTGAGATAAAAGGGTAAGAGAGCATCAGATAGGCAGCGATGGTCCTTTCCTAAGACGCAGGGGAAACAGGGCGCCTGCGCCTCTCCAGATGTTGTTAGATTCCAGCTTCCATCAGTTCCAATCAGTGGGGCTAAAGCTCTGAGATGATGGGAGTTGAAGTCCAGTAACATCTGGAGGGCCATACATTTCCCATCCCAGGGCTGAATGAACCAATCACCTGACTCGGTATAAGAGAGGGGGGAAATGAAATGGGAAGAAGATAAAATCTGAAGGGCATGGGTAAAATAAATATTTTATTGGCTCACTGCATATCAAAATATACTTCAGGTTTCAAGCATGCCACGGAACAGAGTGGTATTTTTGTAAGTGTCCTTTAATATTTAAAAATGTGATGTACCAATAAAATAGTTTTGTGTACCCTCCAGATTTTCCCCATTATTTTGATTTCTTTTGACATGACATATGACAGCTTAAGATGGGTTGTCTCCAACTAAGTCCTACTCAGAGCAGACCTATTGAAATTAATCTGAATTAGGGCTTGCCCACATTTCTGCTTGCCCCACTGCTTTCCTTCAGAGAAGCTTGATCTTTACCACTGAATCAAAGCAAACATCGACTGAGTTTTCCTTGATTGACATTTGCTCTGATTCAGTGGTAAAGAGTGCAGTTTCCCAGGGGAAGCAGCAGGGCAAACAGAAAACCACTCAGACCTCCTGTCTCTAGAAAGCATGGAACAAGCGGAAAACTGCTTGGACCCATGCTTTCTGTGGGATAACCAGCCTCATATAATCAATAATGCTTAAGTCTATCAATGCATAAAGGGGTTAAGACCATAGAGTAAGCTGTCCTGCCAAGTTTAGCTCACCTTGGAAGGGATTAGGCTTTCGTTCTCTTTCAGCCTACCTGAGCTCAACATGTGAGGAGATCTGAGTTGGTTGCTCCAAGCTCAGACCACATGGCTCTCACAAACCACTGTTGAGTTCCTATACCAATAATTTAGGAACTTTCACCACTTGCAACTAAACTAGGTTTTACTGCCTGTGCAACCTTTCTGACTGATGTATGGAAAAGCACACAAACATAACCTTTGGTGAGTTTGTAAGTAAACCATTATTTTATTTACTAAATGTGTGGTCTTTTCCTATGCTGGAGAGTTTTGGAACTCACAAGCCTATATTTCTGCACTTTACTTTGCTGCATCTTTTGTGATTTTAAATATCTGCTGGGGTTCTGTCACCAAAGAGTACTTGCTCCAAACCTGGATCCTGACATCCAGTGAATTATTGTTTTATACCTATTTTTCCCCCTTGCCCCAACACTTTCCAGGTACAAGACTTCTTTGCAAGTATGGATGGGCCCTTAGTAATATCAATTGATTTCAGTGGATCTACTCTGTATAGGATTAACACTGGAGACAACCCTGTTTCTGCTACATGCTTCTTGACTCTAGGGCTACACACACACTGTAAATTTAAAACACATGGCTGCCTACCAAATAATAATCATAAACATGGGAACTGTAGTTCAAGGGGTAGCCACAGTTCCCAGGATTACAGTGTTTGGGAGAGAGTGATGTGCCTTAAATGTATGGTGTGTATGCAGCCTTTGTAAGCAACTAGGGGGCCATCTGGTTTGATTTAGTACTCCTGTGGGCCCTGTTTGTTCGTCTCTGTAGCAAATCACATGCTTTTTGAGGCATGTGGGGTCATGGGAGAGAGTAGACTGCTTGCTAGTTCATCTTAGCTGCCCTCCTGCCTCTTACAATTAGTCTCATCTTGAAATCCTTGTCCCACTAACAATCAGATGTATCCTGGAGGCAGCTCTCTTTATCTCGTGGAACATGACATGTCAGGTGTTATAACTATATAGTAGCTGGAAGCGGGGAAACAAAAGTATGTAACCAACAGAGAGATCAACCCCACTCAACAACGTCTAGCATTTGATAGCTGAGTGTTAAGCAAGGATACAGTAATTTCAGTTTTTTAGTACCTAGTGTTTTGTATCTTTTTTCTCCTATTAGTTTTTCTGGTGTTTCTGCCTGCCTCTAAATTATTGGGATTAAGAGTGTTAGACTAGGGGTTTTCAGACTTTCTAACCCCAGGGCCCACTTGAGAGGACAGAAATGGTGGCAGATGGAAGCAGAGTTGGCCATAATCAGCTGGCTATTACTGACATTGCTTTCTAGCGGTATCTAACCTATATCTGGAAATTCCTTCACCATGGCATTTTCATTGTGGCAAGTAGCTCCACAGCTCAGCTTTATTTAAGGTCAGTATATGCCTCCTGTGTTTAGGCAAGTTTGCTGATGTAGAGGCTTTAAATGGAGACAACTTTTTATTTTCCCCTCACCACCCATCCCACAGGACTCCTAAAATATATATACCTATTTTCTGCAATTTCTTCTCCCATTCTCCTTTCATATTCAACTTGTACCTTATCTCCACCCACTCCCAGTTCATCCCTCTTCCTGTAACAGCTTCCCTCTTACCCCCTTCTTTCTGTCATTTATTATGAATGATAATAACAATTTAATTCAATTGATAATGGTAATAATGACCCTTTATTTCATGTTCTAACTTTGTTTCAACTCTGGCAACCCAGCCAGATGGATGGGATTATCATATTGTTTTTATTGTTATTTCCTCTGAAAATGGGTCAAGGCCCAATGGTGAGTCCTGTTTGAGAAATACCACATTAAAACATTTGACATAATACATGTGATGCACCAGGAGTTTCCAATGATTGAAGAAACTTGTTACCCATATTTTGTAAGCACTTGCCCCTACAGAAGAGAAGGGGCTTACTGCCCATTTCAAGGACTGTTCCTCAGATCCAGCAAGCTGGCATTTTACTCTCTGCCATGCTCATAACTCATTTCTTCATATGAATATTAAAGCAGGCTTTGTTCAGGAAGTCTGCTGTATAATCTAAAGCTATGGCTGCGCCCCTTTAAAAATGTATGGTGTCTTGGTTTCTATTTTAGCCTGCCTATTGATTTGTGGCTGCTGTCCATCCCATCCCAGAACTCTATCCAGGGAACAGATCCTTTTTGCTAAACACTCAGCTTAGCTTGGGACAGCTGTGATTAATTTGCCTTTTAAGTGGTTGGGGGTTTCAAAAACGTATTTCTCGCAGAGTTGCTGAGATTTCAAAACAAAGTTGGGCTCTCAAGATCAGGGTGGGGAACCTTCTTTAAAAGCCTGAGGGCCACATTCACTTGTGGAGAAGCTTCTAGGAGCCACATACCAGTGGTGACTGTGACCAGAATCAAAAGCGGGTTCAGCAGCAGGCAACAGGACTCTTACCTCTGTTTGGTAAGCTGCATTCAATCCATGTAGAAGCCAGAGATATTTACACCCAAACACACCTCTCCATCCCAAGAGATGGGATCCTAAGAGAGGGGCAAGCAAATTCCAGAGCACAGGTTCAGTAACTAAGAAATCCCATCTCTTAGGATTTTCCTCATTGTGGCAACATTTCATGTTGGATGTGCATCATGCGTTTCTGATTTTAAAATGATGTTTGTTTTGTGTAGAGTTATTTACACTGGTTGCTTGCTTGCCCTGAACCAGTGAAGTTAGAATGGAGCATAGGTCGGTCACCTCAATATGAAAAGGATATGCTGATTCTGTTTAGGCTGATGTGTTTTATCAATCTAATCTATTTAATGTATTCCATTGTGCTTTGACATTGTAAAGGTAAGGGACCCCTGGACATTTAAGTCCAGTCAAAGACAACTATGAGGTTGCGGCACTCATCTCGCTTTCAGGCCGAGGGAGCCAGCATTTGTCCACAGACAGCTTTCCAGGTCATGTGGCCAGTAGGACTAAACCACTTCTGGCGCAATGGGACACCGTGACAGAAGCCAGAGTGCACAGAAACAGTGTTTACCTTCCCGCTGCAATGGTACCTATTTATCTACTTGCACTGGCATGCTTTCAAACTGCTAGAAGCTGGGACAGAGCAACAAGAGCTCACCCCGTTGTGCAGATTCAAACTGCTGACCTTTTCATCAGCAAGCCCAAGAGGTTCAGTGGTTTGACCACAGTGCCACCCACGTCCCTTTGACATTATATCCTGCTTTGGGCCTACTAGTGGTGAATAAACAGGTAATGATTTTTTAAAAATAAACCAATACCAGCAGAATGGCTAATGAGGGGAATAATTTTAAGTAAGTGTGGTATTTGATTTTTCAATTTATAAATAGGGAGCAGACGATGTCAGACCTCCAAGCCACAGGTTTATTATTAGAAGAACTTACAAACTGCTTCATTTTTTAAAATTTGAAAGTGATATACCGTATTTTTCGCCCTATAGGATGCACATTTTCCCCTCCAAAAATGAAGGGGAAATGTGTGTGCGTCCTATGGGGCGAATGCAGGCTTTCACTGAAGCCTGGAGAGCGAGAGGGGTCGGTGCGCACCGACCCCTCTCGCTCTCCAGGCTTCAGGAAGCTCTGCGCAACCCTCGGGAGACCGGCTCAGAGGGTTGCGCAGAGCTGCCTGCAGTCCCGGGCTCAGCGCAGCTCTGCGCGGCCATCGGGAGCGGGGCGCGAAGTCCCACCCGGCTCCCGGTGGCTGCGCAGAGCTGCCTCCAGTACCAGGCTCAGCGCACTTCTCCCCATCGCCAGCCCCACAAGCTCGGGGGACAGCGGGGAGGCGGAGCGCGCCTTCCCGCTGTTCCCCGACCTGGTTCTTCCAGCCCCGCACCTGGGGGGGGGGAATAACTTTTTTTCTCTTTATTTTCCCCCCAAAAAACTAGGTGGGTCCTATGGGCCGGTGCGTCCTATGGGGCGCAAAATACGGTACTATGGAAGATTTTTGCAAATCAAAACAGGCTGTATCCACACAGAGGTGCGTCTGGCACCTTCATTACACAGCTTCCAGAAAATGCTGAACACACACCTTCTTTACCCTGGCTTTTGATATGTGAGCGGCCTATTTTTTAGAACCCACCTTATTTTTGTAACTGTAAATAATAAGCTGTTTGAAATACTGTGTTTTAGTGTCAGAATCCACCCTGGGACCTTAGAATGAAGGGCAAGTAATAAATAAATAAGAAATATTATATAGTCATACCTTGGCTTTCAGACAGCTTAGTTCTCGAACGTTTTGGCTCCCGAACGCCGCAAACCCAGAAGTGACTGTTCCAGTTTGTGAACTATTTTTGGAAGGCGAATGTCCTACGGGGCTTCCGTGGCTTCCAATTGGCTACAGGAGCTTCCTGCAGCCAATCAGAAGCCTCACATTGGTTTCCGAACGTTTTGGATGTCGAATGGACTTCTGGGACGGATTCCATTCGACTTCCAAGGTACGACTGTACTAAAGTCAAACAAGCACATTTCCAACTCTGATTCAGCAGCCCACACAATCACCCGCCTGCAGCATGCACACAACATATGTGAAGGAGACATACACACTGAAGGGTTATTGTGAATGTGTATCACCATTTATTGTAGTTCAAGAATCAGGAACTGAACAGAGGACACTGTCAGCAAAAAGAAAAAGAAAGAAAAAGAAAAAAGAAAACATTTCTTTTCAGGCTTTTTTTTTAAACACTGTGGTTTCAAATCCTTTTTAAAAAGGAAATTCAAGTATCTTTAAGCAGGGGGCAGTCATACAAAAATGTTTCGTCTTTTTTATATAGTTTCTGTGTTTTTCTTAAAAAAAAAAAGCAAGTCTACATTTTTTTCTGCACCCTTTTTTTTTTTTTTTTTTGCTTTGGTAAGGCCAAGCCATGGATACAAAACTGGTACGCAACATAAAAATGGGTATTCCTGCCTTCACTGGTAGGTGCTGAGACTTAAAATGATCTGCCCCGCTTGGGAGACAAGCTCTTAAAAGACTCAGAATCATCATCATTTAGCTTATTAGATCTCTGGCTTTAAAAACAAAAAACAAAAAACCCTAAAGCGTTTAAGTGTCTCCCAAAAGACAAAAATCCAATGTGCAAAAAGAAAAGAAAAAGGCAGGGGCAGCGGGGGAGAGAAAAGGAAATCTGCCATTGTGGATTACTCTTCTCATGTATGGCTGACCAAATAAAAATAAATGAATATGTGTAATAGAAAAATATGATTCCCTCCCCAAGATTAACACTTGTTGCAGGCACACTTATCTTTTCAAGATTATGTTCTCTTGGGGCTAGAGAAGGATTTTTTTTTTAATATACAGGGAACATTTGCTTCACATTACAGAAAAAAAAAACGGAGAGGGTAATGTAGGGAAAAGTTAACAGGGAAGAAAAGAAAATGTGTATGTGTGATGGGGGTCACTTTAGCAGCAAAATGTTCAAGGTTTCAACCACAATCAAATTAACGGAGACCTGGCAATATTTTTAAAACAAAAGCAACACAACATGTTGAGGGTTTTGCTTCCCTGATCCACATGTCTTCCAGGTTTTTTTTTTTTATTTTAAAAAAGGAATTCAAGCTGTATAAACCCCAATTATGAGATGTCAGAGGATTTTTGCCTCATAACAAGAGCCAGCTTCCTAAACTTATCCCCCACAACGTTATCGACCGGCGTGTTTGATCACTTAAATATATGTACAAGAATTAAGCTGCTTTTAAAAATTTTTGTTGTTCCTTCTCTTCATCCACATGCTTTTATGTCGTTTTGCAGCAGGAGCAGCAGCAGCAGCAGCAGCAGCAACAACAGGCACTGTGTGAGCTCCAGCCCAGCCAGCTTCCACTTCCAAAAGAATCAGCACATCCCCCACGCCTCAATCCCCTTCGTCCTGCTCTTCACAGTTGACCTTGGCATGTGTGCTGCCAGGCAGGAGGAGGGTCCTCAATGGTCAGTGTTCTGTTTGTCTCTCATCCAGGCTTGGATTTGCTCTTTGAGCTCTGGCACTGAGTAGGGGGAGTAAAGAGGGGGAAGGAAAGTTAAACACAAAATACCTCACCATAACAAAGCTCAGTGGTTGAGCATCTGCTTTGTGTGCAGAAGGTCCCGTGTCCAATCTCCAGGTTGGGCTGGGAACATTCCCTGCCCGAAACCCTGGAAAGCCACTGCCAGTCAGTGCAGAAACAATGCTGAGCTTGATGGTCTGACTCAGTATAAGGCAAATTCTCATATCCACTCAGAGCACACGGAACAACGAACATCACAAATATTTTAAAACATCAGAGAAGCATCCATGTGCAAAGTCCTCCTAAAATGAAACGGGACAGTGCCTGTCTGACTTCTAGTGGGAACGAGTTCCACAAAAACGGCTCCTCAACACTGAAGGCTTGATTTCTTGTTGGTGCAAGTTGTGCTTTTGGTCCATGGAGGACCATAAAATAGTGCTCTCCCCCAAAGATGAACTCAGTGATTGACTTGGGATGTACAAGGCGAGAAGGTCCTTAAAGTACCCTGGGCCTAAGTAATTTGGGGTCTTTAGCAGATAGGAAGCCAGTGCAGACTTTAAGGGAGGACTGGGCACATTAATGGAAGAGCAGAGGTGCATCAATGACTACCAGCCATGACAGGCTGAGTTGGCCATACTGCACTATATGGCCCAAGCAACATTCTTATGCAGGTGACATATCAGCAGATGAGGAAATTCAGTCCCTCAAGACAACAGCAGAAGCATAGAGCAAGGGTGATCCTTCACATGTTGCCAGACTACAATTTCATGGTTGCCATGGACAGTATCTTTCAGCTATCAGAGCTTCCATCTGTAGAGATTGCAGAGTTTCGCAGAGGGTTTCCTCCCTGCTTAAGAAACAGACAACCTTCTGCTGAATTTGTTCCATTTGGGGCCATTTTGTGTGTGATGGTTTTGTTTTTGTAACTGTGGATTTTTATTGTTGAAAGCTTATAATATAAATAAATATAAGTGAACATCTTGACAAAATATTTTGGGGTGTCAGATTGCTCTACTACAGACCAATGTCCAAGAGAAGTTTTGTTTTTTGCAACTAGGAAGCTTATTTATTGTATAAAAGTATTAGTCTAAAAAAAAAAAGACCTATTAGTCTAAAAAAAAAAAAGACCAGCTATCAGCTCCCTTACTCTATTTTGCTTAGGTCACAACACAAGTTTCTCTCTACCTGGTTCCAGCATGTTTTCCGTTAGTGTTTGCCGATTGAATGGATCTGTGGAGGAATTCAAAAGGTGCCGGAGGATGATAGATCTATCCATGATGGTCCCAGATGGCAACCTGACAGGGTCACTCATCAATGTATCCATGAGTGGATCTAGAAGGAAAGGTTTAAGATCATCAAAACTTTAAACTTCAGACTCACTTGCAAACATTCCTAGAGAACTGAATGCTAGAGAGGTGTTTTTCTTAAGAACAACCTCACACTGACAGAGGTATCATTGTTGCACCTTGAGTGCATCTATACAATTTTCTAAAAAGGAAGAAAAAGAAAAAAGCATCTGGAAAAAGCTAAACCAGCTTGCTCTTCTGCACAAGTATAGCATAAAATTTATTTATTTCTTAAGGGTTGCATCCAATTAAGTCACATTCAGAGGAGACTCATTGAAATTAACTAAAGTTAGTCATGGCCACTACCTTCAATGGGTCTACTCTAAGTAGAAGTAGCATTGGATACAATCCTAAAATGTTAGCCCCTCTTTCGATTTTAGCCCCACTGATGATTCCTGGGTGAAGCTGCAGTATCTCCACAAAAATCTACTTGCCTCTGAACTCGTCAGGAGCGTCACTGTAGTCAATTTCAGCTCGGGCATTCTTTGCAACAATTTCTTCCACCTTTTCGGCTAGCAGCTTGAATTTTTCTATTGCTATTGTCGACTTGATTCCAGCTTTCCTCATCTTTGAAATGACCTCCTCAAATAGCTCCTTGCTGTAGGACCTCTGCAAAGACAGAAAGCACCACAATGATCGCATGCAATACCAAGACCTGCCAAAGCCATAAGCTCAGCGGCAGAGCACTTGCTGAGCAAGCAGAAGGTCCCAGGCTCATTCCCTAGTACCCTCAGATAGGCCCTTAGCTGGAAACCCTAGAGAGCTGTTGCCAGTCCGTATAGATGCAAGACTGAGCTAGATGGACCAAATGGGCTGATTCTGTATACAGCAGTTTGAAGACTAACACCTTACTTCTGTTTTAGGGGAAGGACCATCTGATTGTATGCAGAAGGCCCCAGGAGTCAAGGGAGCGAATACTGAGCTTAAAGAACCAATGGTTTGGTTCAGTATAAGGCAGCTCATCTATGTTTCTAAGCAGTTGGCTGTTCTGTGTTTAAAGCACTGCTGCAGGAACAGGGCACAGAAAAGTCAGGGGGAGATAGCCAAGAGTTAAGTCCTTTCCCTGCAGCTTTTCACCACCTCCCAGCTGAGTGTTAGTGACATGGGGAACCTGTGCAAAATGGAATAAAATCACTTTGCAAAGCTTATTCTGCCGTTCCGGGCTGATCATTCTGGTTTAGCGTATTATGGGAAAAGCAAAGTGCACTGAAGCCGCTTCCTTCAACCCCTGGAAACTTTTAAATTCAGCCACCACCCACTCTTTCAAATATATATTCACAGGGATAAGGACTAGAAATGTGGTATCTCTTTTTAAATGAAAGTTGAGATCCTGAGGAATCGGCATTCCATACTCAGAAACAAGTTCTTTGCTTGCTTTGCACTTCCGCGGAATCACAGCACACACAACGCTGTCTGTTCTCCTCTCCATCTGCCCCTCTCTCGACATACTTTTAGTACTAGATACCAGGTAATTAATGGAAATGGAAATCTCTGCTATGAAGCTTTCTTGAGGCACCTGTTTACACAATGGGGGGAGATGGGATGTGCAGCTAAACAGGCTGTTTGGTCTGACACAGATGGCAATCCCGACATTCCTAAAATTAACACACGGTCCAAAGCGTGAGAAAGGCTATCTGCTCCTGCAATAGATAGGTTATGTGCACTTCCATGTGCAGCGATCAAGTGGCAGACTCTGCTGGCATGTAATCAGAAAGTCTTCTCCCTCCCTCCTCGCCATGTCAACTCCAAAAAGCCTGCAGTAAGGAGTCACAGCAAGCAAGAGCCGGCACCTGCTGGGAGCTTGCCAGTGCGATGCAGTATCACTGCAGGATGGGCAGCGCTCCGATTCCAAGGCAGTATGGTTGCCAGATAAATATCAAATCAGCCAGTGGGAGCGGGGAAGGGAAAGCAGCTGAGAGACTGTTGTAGCCAAAATATCAAGCAACAAAACCACGTGCAAGGAAACTCAGTTCTGGAGAAAGAAAGGGTACACACACACACTTCAGTTACTAGGGATGGAAACCAGACTTTCTCCATCAGGTAGGTGCCCTCAGACAGGGTCGCACAGCTTGCTCTGAACAAGCAGAGCATTAAAGAAGTCAACCTGTGGCGGCATGACTTAGCAACATCGGTTTGTTCTTTCTCGGGGACTTTCTTTCAAATCAGCTCCACCACATCAAGCTGCTTCAGACATCTGATACAGATTTATCTGCAGTGCAGTGATCAACACACGATGTGCCCACTCCTTCCTCGACACCAACCCAGCAGGGGGGAAAACTCTATGCCTATATGGCACAGTGCCCAGCACACTCTTCTGGGCTTCATAAATCACATGGAATTTTACAAATCAGAAGAAGAATTCAGCAAATGCCTTGGGAGAATCTCAACTTCAGAGCGAAGTAATCAAATCACATTTTTTGGAGGGGTGGGGGGTGGAATCCAACTGTCACAAAATAACTGAGGACTACCAGAGCGCATTCACCTTTCTGCCCAAGATTCTCGCCCTTTGAATATGCTATACAGCTGTTTAAATTACCAAAGTTTCCCCAAAAAGGCAAGCCTATTAGGGAAACGCCTAAAAATCTTTGCCAATGTATTCATGTATCTTTACTCAAATATGCATGCACACATGAGAGGTTAAGCAACAGCCATCCCAAATTGGGGGGGAAAAACAAAACAAAATGGGCCAATATCCATCTGCTATGGAGATGGCAAAGGGAACTACGCAAGCCCTGGGAACCTGTGGCCCTTTCAGCTTTTGCTGAGAGTCCAGCTCCCATCAGCTCCAGCTAGTTAATGGTCAGGGATGATGGGAGTTGTCATCCAAGAACATCTGGAGGGCCACAGCTTCCCCATCCCTAACTACCCATTTCTTCCCTAACCTTCTGTACACCTTTCTTTCCTGGACTCCCCCACTCACCTGGTCATCAGCTATTGCTTTTGCAAAGCGAGCGCAGTCTAGCTGCAGGTAGATGTCCGTCAGTTGGTCCAAAAGCTTCTTTGGTTCAAAGCCGTACTTCTCGGGGTTCTCGACTTTCAGGTCGCGGCACTTGGGGCCGCACAGCTGCTGAAGGTTGAAGTTCAGCATTGCAGCCAATCGCGGCCCAAGCTCCTGGAAATGCCACCGCAGAAAGTATTATCACTGGAGAGGAATTCTTGAATCCCCATAAATGCCGGGTGCTTAATAATAATAATGCATCCACAAGCATTTTGTTGGCCACTGTGAGAACGGGATGCTGGACTAGATGGGCCAATGGCCTGATCCAACAGACTTGTCCCATGTTCTGCAACTGTGTTAATTTCCCCAATGTAGCTTTGTCCATCTCCACCATTTCCTACATCAAAACATGTTTACTTTGTCCCAATGGGAACCAAGCCTGCTTCCTGTATTCTGTTTTTCTTGGTCACACCCTTGTAGTGTGGCAGAAGGTTGCCAATTGCCTTCAGCAGATAGGAATCTGGATCCTCATCTCATCTACTCAACCACTGCTCCTTGTACAAGAGGCACTTTTGGATTGTACACCAGGTGGCCACTCCTGTCCCCCATGGCTGCTTGCCCCCTTCCAGGCACCTACCTAGTACTTTTCAGGCTGCCCCTGGCTTAATGGCAAAGGCTTCTAGTACCATGTGGACACCCAAGAGGCCACTAACCCAAGGGTAGCCAATGTGGCGACCTCCAGAATTTTTGGACTACAACTCCCATCAGCCCCAGTTGGCATGACCAATAGCCAGGGATGATCGGAATTGTAGTACAAAACCCCTCATGTTGGTTTCTTTTGCTCTAAGAAACTGTGAAGAACAAACCTTGGTTTATTACAGTGGTACCTTGGGTTACATACGCTTCAGGTTACAGACTCCGCTAACCCAGAAATAGTGCTTCAGGTTAAGAATTTTGCTTCAGGATAAGAACAGAAATTGTGCTGCGGTGGCGCGGGAGGCCTCATTAGCTAAAGTGGTGCTTCAGGTTAAGAACAGTTTCAGGTTAAGAACGGACCCCTGGAACGAATTAAGTACTTAACCCAAGGTACCACTGTATTGTGGCTTGCCTGAAGTGAAACAAACCATGTTTGGAGGCAACATTAAGCCAGGGATCGAGGTTTATTTCCTCTGTTGCTAGTAAAGGTAAAGGTACCCCTGCCCGTATGGGCCAGTCTTGACAGACTCTATGGTTGTGCGCCCATCTCACTCAAGAGGCTGGGGGCCAGCGCTGTCCACAGACACTTCCGGGTCATGTGGCCAGCGTGACAAGCTGCATCTGGCGAGCCAGCGCAGCACACGGAAACGCCGTTTACCTTCCCGCCAGTAAGCGGTCCCTATTTATCTACTTGCACCCGGGGGTGCTTTCGAACTGCTAGGTTGGCAGGCGCTGGGACCGAGCAACGGGAGCGCACTCCGCCACGGGGATTCGAACCGCCGACCTTTCAATCGGCAACCCCTAGGCGCTCAGGCTTTTACCCACAGCGCCACCCGCGTCCCCTGTGTGCTGGTAGAGAGGAACAAAAGGAGCCCAGATAGTTTAGGTCAGGCATCCCCAAACTTGGCCCTCCAGCAGGGACTACAGCTCCCATCACCCCTGAACACTGGTCCTGTTAGCTAGGGGTGATGGGAGTTGTAGTCCCAAAACAGCTGGAGGGCCAAGTTTGGGGATGCCTGGTTTAGGTGAACTGGACCTCTGGAGTTGTAGCCAACTGAAACTCATGGTCCTAAGTCATGCCCATTCGTTTCAATGGGTCTACTCTGCACAGGACTAGCACTGCATACAACCCCATATATTAGCCACAGTGAAGAGATCTTAAAACATTACATCTGTTTCAGGCCTTACACTCTCTGGCCCTATCCATAACCTGCAGTGGCTGAAATTCCCAAAAGCTGAGAGTCTCAATGATGAGAATTTTTAAATCACAGGTGAGGCTTATGGCTGCATCCACAGTAACACCGACTTTGAAGAACTCAAGCTGGCTGGGCCATGAATGAACCGCAGAGCCAGTAATGTAAGTAAAACCTGCAAATCAAGTTGCCACCTATTTTATAATTTAAAGCACCTCATCACAAACCCCCAAGTTTATACTCACAGGTCTGAGGAAAGGCTTCTGAACTTGTTTGGTGAGGATGTGGAACATATCGACTGTTTCTGTTGCTAGGGCCAGGTAAGAGCGCGACACCCTCTCATCCTGTGCCAGCTGAGACTGCCGTGCTTGTTGCTGGTCCTAGAAGAAAAGGCGCTGCAAATCAAACTGCCTCTGCCTCAGCATCAAATAAAACAAGCAGGTATATGTTATCAAATTCCCAGCCGCATCTACCAGCAGCAAGACACCCTTGCTTCATCTCACTGCTCCCACCCCCAATATCACAAAGCACCAGATGCAACCAACATTAAGTTGCTATTACAGTGGTACCTCGGGTTACATACGCTTCAGGTTACATACGCTTCAGGTTACACACTCCACTAATCCAGAAATAGTGCTTCAGGATGAGAACAGAAATCATGCTCTGGCGGCAGCAGGAGGCCCCATTAGCTAAAGTGGTGCTTCAGGTTAAGATCAGTTTCAGGTTAAGAACGGACCTCCGGAACGAATTAAGTACTTAACCCGAGGTACCACTGTAATTATTTTATATACTGCTTCCTTGCCAAGAATGGCTTCTAAGCAGTTTACAAATATAAAATCAATAGCAAAATCCAAACAAGACACAAATTAACAATTCGAAGTGTTAAAAACATCCACAACTTTAAAATCCAATGGAACAAGTCAGTTAAAAAACAGAACCATTAAAAGTTTAAGTTTTTAAAAAACCAAACATTAAGTTCTGGGGCATGCTTGCCTAAGCAGGTGCACCTTCAAGAGCCAGCAAAACACCAATACTGGTGGGGGTTATTTCAGTAGGGAGGGCATTCCACAATATGAAAAACACCAATGAAAAAGCTCACCTCCAGGAGTCAATAATAATCAGGCTATGGCAAACATTAACAGGGTTCCATCTGTTGATATTTAATGCCCTTACGAGATAGTGGTGGAGAAGATGCTTTTTCAGATAACCTATCCAAAGTTATGCAGGGCTTTATATTTAAGCAGCCAGGCATTAAAACTGGCTCAGAGCCCAGGCTGTTGAAGGCAGGTGCCAACCCTTCTTGTGATACACTGGGGCACTTACTGCATAGAAGGTGGGGTATGCTAACTCAGAAAATGGCAGAGGAACCTCCAAAAGGAGACATTTGCTCACCCTGGGCAGCAAGTCCCAATGCTCTTTGTTTTTCATCTCCTCCTGCACTTCATGGATGCGTTTTAGGGACTCCAAACTCTCGTCCAGCAAGAACGTTGTGTCATTGATCAGCATATTGATGTAGCGAACAAATTGCTTCCCAGAGCTAGAAAAGAGAGGGAGATGGAGAGAGACAGAAGCAGAGAGTTCTAATGGAGATGGGATTCCTTGGTTCCAATATAGCAGAACGACTGAGCTGCAACCCCAGTGCTGTTACTTGGATCTGGCAGAGGTTCAAATCCCTGCTCAGCCATCTGTTACTGCTGTGCACCAGTTTCCCCGCCCACAAAATGGAAATGGAACCTACCCCACAAGACTGTTGTAAGGAACACACAAGACTAAATGCCTTTAATACAACTATTTATCTGTAATCCTGAACTGCTACCCTGCTCTTATCCAGTGCATCAAAGTCAGATTAATTCCCCTTTGGGAACTGCCTTCCTGCACAGCACTTTAAAAATGCTCTACCCAGGGGGAGGCACAAATACCAGACTGAAATGAGAGAGAAGGGAGGCACAGATTGACTGGCAGCACCTCTCCCAACATCTCAGGCAAAGGCCTTCTATATCACCAGGTACCTGACCTTTTTTAACTGGAGATGGTGGGGATTGAACCTGTGACCTACCCCATACAAAGCAGGTGCTCTCTAACCCACTGAGCTATGGTCTCACCACAAAAGATGAGGGCCAGTCCAGAAACCCTTAAGACCCAGCCCCCGCCATGCTGAAAGCCTTCTAACTCACTTGAACTCTTCCATGAAGGTGCCATGGTGAGCTATATTCTGCCAGAGGCTTTTGAAGATGGTGCTGATGTGGTAGCGGATTGTAAATTTGTCATAGAACTCGCTGGTGGCTCCGGTGTGCTCGACATCTGGGGAGGATGGAGGGAAACCGTAAGTCAGACAATAAATCCACCACTTTGAAGTTAGAACGGAAGGGATGTACCCTCTCGCCTCCAGACTGGCCAGAAGATCAAGAGCTACCCCTTGCCAGTATCCAAAAAGAACATGAAATCCAGGAGAAATGGCCCCAGTCATTGGCCAGAGGTCTAAGAGATACTGAACTGTATGTAAAGACGTAGAAATCCCAACTCTATAATCAGCCAGGGCGATCAACACCACTTCACATCCCAGGGCATGGCTCTGTGTTTAAAGCTGAACACAAACTGTGAGTCAGGCAGCAGCTAACCTGTATAAAACTTCATCAGCGACGGTACAAGCAACTTGGTGGAGAGAGGATGGTTCTCAATCATCTCAAAGAACTTCTGTGTCCGTGGCTGGACAGCCGGGTTCGTCATAAACATCACCTCCACCAGCTTCGCCACCAGGTAGGGGTTCCGGATGTAGTTCTGGTTGCACAGCATCACAACGAGGAACGTCACAACGTCTTGGGTGCAAGGCTCATAAAGTACCTGAGGAGAATATCTGGCAACAGGGGGTGGGGTGGGATGAAAAACGGGCAAATGAGAAAATGGTCCTGAATGGAGAAGCACAACACCAAGGTAAGAAGAAAGCTGCTGGTTCAGCCCAAAGGCCTGTCTAATCTTGTTGCCTAAGAACATGGAAGGCTGCCTTGTAATGAGTCAGATCTTTGGTCCACTCAACTCAATACTGTCTATGCAGACTGGCACCAGTTCTCCAGGGTTCCCGGCAAGATGTCTTCCTGGGCGCTTCTTGCAGATGCCAGGAAGTGCTCTAACACAGCCCTTCCCTTAAGACACAGGAACTTAGGAAGCTGCATTATACAGGTTCAGACCACTGGGTCCATCTAGCTCAGTATTGTCTACACTGACTGGCAGTGGCTCTCTAGGGGCTACCAGGAGATGCCAAAGGGGATCAAACCTGGGACCTTCTACATGCTAAGCAGATGCTCCAAAGCTGAGCAAATTCCTGCTATTTCCATACAGTGGCCAGATGCTTCTTGGAAGCCAACAAGAACAAGGTGGCAATATTACTTACTGTACAATAAAAAATAAAAATTCCGCGACATCTTCCACATAAAACTCAGGCAACGCTGCAAACACTTTTGGGACATCAGGGTTTAAAGGCAGTTTTATGCTGTGAACACAGGGATGAGAGAAAGACCATTAAGCACCTTAGGGCAGGAATCTCTCATAAATAGCTTTCAAAACTCTGCAAAGGGTAGATAACTGGCTAAGTATGCCACCGTGAACCAAAAGCCACATACATGGAAAGCAAATTCACAGCCATATAAATACATTTTAAGGGTCATGCAAAGAACAAGTTAAACCCTACACAGTTTTAAAACAAAGGTATAAGTATGCAATTTGTATCTGATTTCCTGCAGAGATTTCATTTTAAGAGTAAGGGAACAAATCAAACTTTCCCAACCTGGTGCCCTCCAGCTGTTGTTGGAATACAATTCCCATCAGACCCATCAATAATGGCCTGCGATCAGGGATGATGGGAGTTGTAGTTCAGAGACATCTGGAGGGTATCAGGATGAGGAAGGGTGACAAGAGAAGGTCACATTCAACTAACTTCTTGTCACAGTGAAATTAATAGACAAATTAATCATGTTTATTCATTTGACTGGGCCTACTGCAAGTAGGACTAACATTGGATACACATCAGAATGTCAGGATGAAGACTTCCTCCTCACTGACTTCAGGCTGTTTGGGAAGTGAGATGTTTTTAAAAACTTCCCCATAAAGCATTATCTAGGCTTTTCAAAGCCGGTAACTGAAAAATGGCCTCACCTATAGGAGTCATTTTGGGGGCAGACACCTACTGTTAATTGGCAGGAGGTAGCTAGCGACTTGGCCAGCACAAAAAAGCACACTGGGTGAGATGAGGAGATCTCTAAATGTGACTCACTTGGGGTAGGCAGGGTCTAGGATCCGGAGCAAGAGCTGGATGACCATGCTGTAAAAATTCAGGCACCTTCTAAGGAAATTCTCGTCTAGGAGGCCGGCATCTGCACAGGCTTTGCAACGCACCAATTTCTGCACAGAGAAGTTGCCACAACCCAAAAGTTAAGCAAAAGCACCACACTAGAAATCAATATGTCCCGCCCGCCCATGCACAAACAAAATATTGCACTCAGAACAGCAAAACATTCAAGTTGGGAGCAGCATACTCTGAAAGAAGCAGCAGTTCAATAAATGTTTGTTTGGGCAGGATGGACTGGATTATACAGGGCACAAGAAAGCAAGAGCCTGGTGCATGGATCAGAGCAAAGGCTCGTCTAGTCCAGCACCCTGGTCTTCACAGTGGACAACAAAGACGGGAGCCCACAAGCAAGGCAGAAGGGCAAGATTCTCTCCTGCTCTTGCCCCCATCCCCACTCCAGCAACTGGTATGCAGAGATATGCCACTTCTGAACACAGAGGTTCTGCTTCATCATCCCTGCCTAGGGTTGCAGCAATGAATTAAATAATAATAATAATGTGTTCTGTGAAGGATTCTCATCGGCCCTGAAATCTCCTGCCTATCAACATCATGGGATGACCCCAAGATCTAGTAGTATGAGAGAAGGAGAAAACTCTTTCCCCAAATACCGCTTTCTCCATGTGATGCGTATGTTTTCTATGCCTCTATCGCATCTCCCTCTTACGCCTGCAATCCCATCCAAGTTTACTAGCTCATCAAACCTTCACGTAGGCAATCAGTACCCAACATACACATTCAAATCTTCGTAATCATTTGTAGTCAAGGATGGCTCCCTAAAACCCTCAAGGCGAAGCTGGAGCAAGGGACCAACTGGCTTTTGCCTGACCGCAGCTTACAAACCTTGAGCTGTGTTTTGCAGCGTTTTAGCATTTCTCGATGCCGTGTGGCCAGAGGAGAATCCTTCCACTGAGTTTCATTATTCTTCAAGTCCTCCACGGTCCTGTAAAAGTAAACCAAACGAGAGGGAAAAAATAAAAATAAAAATTGAGCAATTGTGGCAAAGGCAGAGAGCGCAAAGCACCAAAGAGGAAGAGGTAAATGAAACAGGACATAGGAAGCTGCCTTATATCACGTCAGGCCATTGGGCCATCTAGGTCAGTATTGTCTATGCCAACCAGCAGTGGCACTCCACGGTTTCAGGCAGGGAACATTCCCAGCCCTCCTTGGAGACTCCACTGGGGATAGAACCTGGGACCTTCTGCATATGAAACAGATGCTCCACCACTAAGCCATGAACATATGAACATAGGAAGCTGCCTTATATCACACCAGACCATTGGTCCATCTAGCTCAATATTGTCGACATTAACTGGTAGCAGGGTTTCAGGGAAGGAGTCTTTGCCCATTACTACTTAGAGATGCTGGTTTGTAGCTGGCTGATGAATCTTCATTTGCTTGAACTATAGCTGGTATTATGTGTGAACCAAGCACTCTTCCTTAACTATGGTTTCTTTGATCACCCCAGAAGCTCATGAAACTATAGAGGCATGAGGCAAGAGCAGCTGGACAACAAGCCAAACCTTTGGCAAAACAAGCCATGGTTTGTTTGATCATCCATGGGACAAACCATAGCTTAGAGCTGCATTAGAACCAAGCCGACATAAACTTCTCGCACTACTCAGCCCCCACAAGCTCCCCTCAGCTGATTGAATCGCTGGCGCACCCAGTCCTAGTTCCCTCCTGATACTGTGCATGCACACTACAGTAAGCGTCCTCTTGCCAAGTTATGCTAGCGATTACTCAAAGCCACCTTTAGACCTCAATGAACAATGAGGCCATTGGTGGCTGCAGAGCTTTCTGGGAACTGGCACGGCTCTCCAAGCAGACAATGCCTGCAGAGCTTGAGATCATCGGCAGAAGACAGGCTCCCCGCTTCCCACAGCCATCTGGATCTACCAAGCCAGCCGCATGATGAGCCCCCATCTGCATTCACAAACTTTCTGCCACACATCAGTCAGCTCAGAGCTCTGTGGGTAACAAAAAACTGAAGGGACTCAAAGAAGGCAGGAGAAACTGGCAGACCGTTATCAAAAGTGCTTGGGAGTATGGAGATGCCTTATTTGTTTTATTTTTGTTTACTTAATAAAATCTTTTCACTGCTTGATTGTAAAACAAAAGCCCTCAAAGCAGTTTGCAGCAAAATTTAAGTACAATGGTACCTCTGGATGCGAACGGGATCTGTTCCGGAGCTCCGTTCGCATCCTGAAGCATGTGTCATGTTTTGCCGCTTCTGCGCATGCACATGACGTCATTTTGAGCGTCTGTGCATGCACAAGCGGCGAAACCCTGAAGTAACGCACTCCGTTACTTCCAGGTCGCCGCAGAGCACAATCCGAAAATATTCATCCCGAAGCTACTTCAACCCGAGGTATGACTGTAATGAGATTATCGGCAAAAACAAACTAAAGCATTTCGAAAGTAATTTAAATCGACAACAGGCTAAAAACCAGATTTAGAAAATGTCAACATTCTACACGTCTTCCTCACCTGTTGAGCTCCCGGATGGCCCTCAGTCGACGGATGTATCGACGGCAGCTTGGCAAGATAGACAGGTGATGAGCATGGAGGGTCAGGAAGAAGCACTCCGTTGGAAATTTCGGCTCAGAAAAGAGGGACTGATCCCTAGCTGGGGAAAGGAGGAAAAACAGGATAGAATTGAGAAGTTAGGGTGCATTCAGACATGGGAAATATTAAGCTAAGCTTTCCTGGTTATAGTACTAGAGCTTCCGTTCCAGTTTTCCAATGTTCATTTCATGCCTGTTACGTTTTGGACCGATACACTGGCATGCTAGACTAAATTCCATTCACATCAGTGACCATGGTGTGGCACAACAACAAATGTTGCTGGGCAACGTTGCTAAAAGGTTATGCTTTTAAAGCTAGTATCTCCCATGTCCTTAAGTTATACAGTGGTACCTTGGGTTACAGACGCTTCAGGTTACAGACTCCGCTAACCCTGAAGTAGTACCTCAGGTTAAGAACTTTGTTTCAGGATGAGAACAGAAATTGCATGGTGGGGGCGCAGCGGCAGTGGGAGGCCCCATTAGCTAAAGTGGTACCTCAGGTTAAGAACAGTTTCAGGTTAAGAACGGACCTCCAGAACGAATTAAGTTCTTAACCCGAGGTACCACTGTACAGCACCTATGTATTGACTGTGTTGATGCTGACACTGCCTGAACAGCAGACAGATATCACTGATACTGGTGCAGAAAGTGGGGAATGGGAGAACAGGGGAACCACCATGCAGCATGGAATATTCTCCCCATGTAGCAACATACAGAAATTGCTCAAAGCCAGGCTGGGGAATTTGGGGCCCTTCAGATGTCATTGGGCCATGACACCCAGCATCTCTGACTCTTGGCAATGCTGGCTAGGGGGGATGAGAATTGGAGTCCAGCAACATCTGGAAGGCTGAAGGTTCCACATCCTTGCAGTAAGGAATCTTATAAATGAAGTAACTGCTATCTGCCATGACAAATGGCCTGTCTCTCATTTGCTTTGTTAAGTTTTAGCCTCCGGTGGTGGCTCATGTCCTGGATGAAACTGTTAACTGTGGGTGGGGAAAAAGGCTGAAAAGATGTGAAAAGTGTGAATGGGACCAACACAGAGTGAAATCTCAATGCCAGGGGTCAAGCAAGATTTCCTGTGTTCTAGATAGCTCTGTCTATTGCACAGACTACTGGAAATTCAAATGGCCAATACATTAAAAATAATACTTAATTTCAAAGGCCCCACAACTCTATTTTCCTTAAAGCATAAGCTAGCTTACCTTGGAGCAGAACTTCTAAAAACATAGCCCCAAATAAAACAACCCACAAATTTGTTTTTGCACATCTGCCAAGGAACAAAAAGGTGGAGACAACAGCATAACTCACACAGCTCAACCATCCAGCTGCCAACATCCTCCATGGTAGCTTTCACTCGCGTCTCATCCGCTGGGAGTACAATGCGACACCGAGGATGGAAGATGTAGGAGGGGTCAACCGTCTCAAGCTTGATCTTTGTGCTCAGCTGCTGAAGCACCCACAGGAAGTTGAGCATAAAGCCGTCTGTAGAGACCAATCTGTCATCTGTCTGCAAGTCCAGGAGAAAGGGAACAGAGTGCTATCTAAGAACTGGAACTTCAGGGAGACAGCACCATATCTGAAGCAGGGCTCAAGGGTATCTTAAGGACAGCCTTCCCACTTGTGAACCTGTTTACGTAGATCGGGGGTGGTGGAACCCTTTTAAGTCAAAGGGCAGCATTTCCTTCTGGGCAACCTTTTTAGGGGCCACATGCTACTGGTGCACAAGGCCAGAGACAAAAGTGAGTGGGGCAATTAATGCAACTATTACCTTTGTACAGTAGGCAAGCTTCTACACACACTCACACACCTGTCTTTATCCTCCACCCAGGCAAGCAAGAGGCATTATCAGAGCTCAAGGATGAATTCCAGACAGGCACAAGCACTCAAGGAAGGTGTGAAGAACGTGTAGCAAAAGGGAGAGTTCTAAAGGCCAAACGAGAGGCCTGGAAGGCCACATGCGGCCCCTGGGCAGAAGGTTCCCCCACCTCTAATTTAGAGCATCGCCAGAGGGTTTGCTCTGAGTACTGCTGGCAGTGTGCCTTTGGAATTACCCTCCCCAGAACTGTTTCCCTAGTGCCTGCAGAGCTCTCAGCTGCTAAGCCACAGATTTTACCTTAGCCAGGTGCCCCCTAGCTGGCCTGAAAAAAGCCACCATCTCTCCCAGCTTCATTTCCCCCACTTGCATATTTTATAGGCTCATATATATATACATACACTGCACAATAAACTAAGTATCTAGGCAGGGAGTATTAAAACATCTATAAAGCAGCAGAAAAAGACTTGACACCTGGACAGCGATACACAATAACCCATGGACTGAGCTACACATCAGAAAAGTCCTGTGTAAGCAAAAGGCGTTTGAGAAATGCAAGTAGAAATGATGATTGTTTACAATTAATAGGCAAGGAATTAAACAATCTAGGCTGGAACATAATATTTTATCATCACAATCATCATCATTTTATCATCATCCTGCCTGACAGGGACTCAAGGTGGCTTACAGCTAAAATAGAAACAGCTAAAAACATTTTTTTTTGGGGGGGGGGACCAACCATTAAAAAATAATTAAACACTAAACCCCCTATTTCTTGCAGAAGACAAATGCCACGTGGCACACTTAACAGTGCCTCTTTGGCTGAACATAAAGATCGGGCAGTTATATAATGTGTGGGGATTATACTGATTTACCTGTTGAGAGGATTATAACTAGACAATGCACATGAAGTGCTTACAACACTTAAAAGCCCAAGATAAAAATATTATTCTCTTCCCAGCTCTGGCTTTTATTTATGTAAATATTCTGAAGCCACTTTTTCAGCCCTGTTTGTGCCACACACACCCAAAAAAACCCATGGCCCTCAAGTCTAACACTACAAGATACAATTTAGCCAGTTAGATGCAGACAGACATTACTTTTTTATAAACAACAACAAGAGAAGTAAAACAAAACTCAAGGAACAGCCAGCAAAAAAAGAAAAGGGGAAATGGTATGTTTAAAAACTGCTGTTTCAGTTGCAATAGCTTCTACTCTGATTTGTATGTACTCTGATTAAAATTTTAAAAGCTGCAAGATTAATGGGCATGGGGCGGGGTGCAAGCAAAATTACAATTAAAATGTCATGACTTGCTCCAACAATGACTGTCAAAGCAAGTAACACTCCCACCTCCCCAAAGGGAAACAAAAGTGGCTCACTAACAGGTAGCAGAGGACATCCTGGGATGTCAGGAGGGGCAGGGCATAAGCAACAGAAACATGAGAGGAGGAAATCAAAGACTGCTGGCTGGTATCCTTATGCAGAGCAGACGGACAAGCATAGCAATGCAAGGGCTGGCAATATAAAACTGAGGACTAGAGGCTTGGTTGCAGGAAGGTCAATGCAGAGCGCAGGTGAGGGTGTTCATGGCAACAGAAGAGACAGCTGAGTTTACAATTTCAAGTTGATCAAAGAGGGGAGAGGGACACAATAAATGTGCTAACAGGCTTTCACTACCAATCTGGACTGCGGGCACAACTTCACCTGCATCTGGGCCTTCTTCATGTTGGCGTTGACCATGGCTGCCATGTAGCTGAGAGCTGCCTCTCTGGTTTCTCCGTTCAGTAACACACTATGCAGGATCTTAAACAGCTCTTGCTGAAGATTTTTACAAAAGGAAAGTCAGAAAAAAGTTAACTGAGCAACTGCAGCTTTCACCGAGAAACAGCTGTGTAGCACAGCCTTGGTGGCGCTCTCTGGATGTCTTGGGCTCCCATCAGCCCCAGCCAGCATGGCTAGCAGTCAGGGATGATGGGATTTGTAGTCCCAAAAACACCAGGTGGGCACAAGGCTGGTGCAGAGAAAGGTCACATTCACACCATACATTTAAAGCTATGTGATACCACTTTAAACAGCTGTGGCTTCCTCCAAAAGAATTTTGGGAGCAGTAGTCTGTTAAGGGTGCTAAAGAGCTACAATTCCTACAGTGGCTTAACAGTCAATCCCTCTTCACAGCAAATTCTGTCAGGGCAATAGGGGTCTCCTAACAAGTCTCACAACCCTTAACAAACTACAGCTCCCAGAATTCTTTGGGGGGAGGCCAAGTGGTATCATAGTGCTTTAAAAGTATGGTGTTAATGTGGCCAGGGTCTTAGCATAGTTGGAAACTTCGGTTACACAGCAGCTGTAGTCTCTATTCCCCTAATGCTGCTAGATTTTAAGATGACCTCGCAAATACTGATCAAAAGTAAGGCTTGTATCCAACTCAGAGTAGACCCATTTAAATAAAAGGGCATAAGTTAGTTTTGTCCTTCAGTGTGTCTGCTCTGAGTATGGCTAGAACTGGATTCAACCCTAAAGCTACAACCTTTAACTAATCAGTTAAAAGTAATTAAAAATATTTTAAGTGACTACACTTTGGCCCATAATTAATCAGGCAACACATTTAAGAATGTGAAGTTTCTAAAATATATATTAAATAAATAAATAAATAAGCAAGCAGACAGGAGCAGTCATCTGAGAAGATTAATTCCCGCTTCGCTCTCAGGCACAGGAAATAACACCTGTTGCAGCAGGAACCATCTAAGGACCAAAAGCGGTATGCAGCAATGTTTTACTCAGAGTTGATCTACTGAAATCAATGGACCTAACTGGGTCATGTTTATTTATTTCATTAGGTCTGCTCTGAGTCAAATGTAGCTGAATACCACTCCAAGAATTGTGACCAGCTTTTTATTATTCTACTGATTTGTTTCATAAAATTTATACACCTCTTGATTGAGGTTGCGTGTTTTTTTACAAAGCGGTTTACTAAAAAAAAGTTTAAATGATAAAATCAGTGCTTTTTTTCTGGGAGGACACAGGGTACACACACATACCCCTAAACATTTTGTGAATCTTTGTATTTTTGTCCATTTACTGTATGTATTTTTCCTGATTTGAACTATAAAATGGTGATTTTCTTGAGTCAAAATGAGAGTACCCCTAAACATTTTTTTAAGGGAAAAAAAGCATTGGAGAAAATTATCCATAAGAATTAACAACAACATTCGAAAAGTTAAAATAAGAATAAACTAAGAACAGATTAAAACTTGCAACGACTTTCTAAATACAGTGGTACCTTGGAAGTTGAACGGAATCCATTCCGGAAGTCTCTTAGACTTCCAAAACGTTCGGAAACCAAGACACAGCTTCCGATTGGCTGCAGGAAGCTCCTGCAGCCAATCAGAAGCCATGTCAGACGTTCGGGTTCCAAAGAACGTTCACAAGCTGGAACACTCAATTCTAGGTTTGAAGCATTTGGGAGCCAAAACGTTCAACTTGCAAGAAGAAGAAGAAGAAGAAGAAGAAGAAGAAGAGGAGGAGGAGGAGAGGAGGAGGAGGAGGAGGAGGAGGAGCTTTATCACTACCCGAAGGAGTTTCAAAGCAGCTAACATTCTCCTTTCCCTTCCTCCCCCACAACAAACACTCTGTGAGGTGAGTGGGGCTGAGAGACTTCAGAGAAGTGTGACTAGCCCAAGGTCACCCAGCAGCTGCATGTGGAGGAGCGGAGACGCGAACCGGGTTCCGCTCTTAACCACTACACCACACTGGCAAGGTGTTCGTGATCCAAGGTACGACTGTAGCAGAGTAGGCTTGCTTTTAAGCAGGTACCAAAAAGAGTACAGTAAAGGCACCTGCTTGATGTCAAGGGTAGACTCACTGAGATGAATAGGACCTAGGTTAGTCATGTCCATTCATTTCAGTGAGTCTGCTCTGAGTATGGTTGATGCTGACTGACAGGCTTAGCAAAAACATTTTCTCAAACAAGATAAAAAGCAGCCAATTCCTCTTCAGCACACCTACCCTTGCGGATTCCAGGTAATGCTGCAAAGACTGGCTAACCACCCTGGTGTTTTCAAGGGTAATGGCAGGTCCAGAGAAATATTTTTCAACCACTCTAGGCTGCAAGGAAGAAAGAAAAAAAAGATCAATGAACAACAAAGATATGTTTTATTTAAAGTACTTGTAAAGACCATGTTTATGGGCCGAATCAATTTCAAGGCAGCTTATGATACAGAAATGCAATAAATAATTAATGATATAAAGGTAAAGGGACTCCTGACCATTAGGTCCAGTCGTGGCCGACTCTGGGGTTGCGGCGCTCATCTTGCTTTATTGGCTGAGGGAGCCGGCGTACAGCTTCCGGGTCATGTGGCCAGCATGACTAAGCTGCTTCTGGCAAACCAGAGCAGTGCACGGAAACGCCGTTTACCTTCCTGCCGGAGTGGTACCTATTTATCTACTTGCACTTTGACGTGCTTTCAAACTGCTAGGTGGGCAGGAGCTGGGACTGAACAACAGGAGCTCACCCCATCGTGGGGATTTGAACCGCCGACCTTCTGATCAGCAAGTCCTAGGCTCTGTGGTTTAACCCACAGCACCACCCATGTCCCTAATCAATGATATACAGCATACTTAATAGCCGGTAAAATTAGACTAACACCCAACAAGCCCAGAATTAAGTAAACTAAAACCATGGTTTGTATCTAATGCTAGTCCTACTCTGTGCAGATCTTCTGAAATGAATGAACATAACCAGCCTAGGTCTATTAATTTCAATGAGTTTACTCTATGTAGGACTTAGTTGGATACAACTCTATTACTCTTGCCATAAAGCCAAAAAACACAAACTGGAGCAATGGCCAGTGAGAACCAACACGTTTAAAGGTCTCTCCTGAATGCTTGTAGTGATAAGGCTTGGTGAACTCCCAACAGAAACATATTCCAGAGGTGTGGGGCCAGTACAAAAAAGGCCTTGTACTGCACGCCTGCCGACTTAACAGCCCTCTGCAGTGGGTGCATAAGAGGTTGCAAAAGGAGGGAGAGGCTTTTAAGGCAGACCACAGCAGACTAGACAAAACTTATTTGCTGTAGCAGAAGATCTTTTTGCTTTGGTCTCATTCGCTCATCACTTACATCATCTTCAGCAAAGACAGAGAGACTGAAGAAAGCCCCAAGGTAAGAGAGTCTTTGCAGTTCCCGACCTGTCCCGGGGCTCAGAGACTTCGGCAGCCACAAAGGCAAAGACACAACCTGTGGGTACAAGAGGGTGACAGGGAAATGACTGGCACGTGGGTTGGAAGGTTCTAAATTGCTCTGCTGCCTGATTGATCACCCCTTGGTAGAATCTGATGGATGTCAAGCACTGGAAACCAGCATTAACTCAAAAGGAATTGTAAGAACAGGTTTTCCACTTACCAAACTGCACACGGGGTGAGATTTCCCAAACTTGATTTCACATAGTTCACCTAAAGCCTAAAAACAGAAACAAAAATAAATGAGAGAAACAAAATGATCCAAGGACATCTCTACACAGGTTCTTTGGCTGACTAATGGGAAAAAAAGAACCATATGTTGGATGGAGGGCTCTTAAAAGAGTTGCATCTTAAGAAGCAGTCTTTCTTTGGACTCTTCCAGCGGTTAGCTTGTTATGACAGCTACGTGTGACCTCCTGGTTCAAAATACCAGCTGCCACAACCTTAGGAGAAGGGCTCTAGTCTTCATGCCCCTGAGAGTGTGCTTTCCAAGAGGCACCTGGCTAGCCACAGAGGGAAATAGGATGATGGTCTGGATGGCTTGAGAGCTTAACCTGGAGAGTATGTGCTTGGGAGTATGTGCAGTCATGTCTCAGAAGTTATCAGAGGTAGATCAACAGCTCCTATGACCTATAAGCAGTATGAAGACTTTGGATTGGCTAGTCCTAGTATATTTATGCTGGGGACCTGACCTCCCACTCAGCATAAGAATGTAAGAAGAGCCTGCTGGATCAGGCCAATAGCCCATCTAGCCCAGCATGCTGTTCTCACAGTGGTCACCCAGATGTCTGTAGGAAATCTACAAGCAGGGCCCGAGCAAAAGAGCACTTCCCCTTCCTGTGGCTTCCAGCAATTGGTATTCAGATGCATTACTGCCTCTTGGCCATGAAGGCAGAGCAGAGCCACCATAGCAGGACAACCTGAGAACTCCAGATTTTCCAACTCAAACAACAGTTGGAGCACACAAGCTCCAGGTCTAGATTTCTGAGCCAGGCCACAACAGTTTTCCCCTCCCCAATTTAAGTTGGAAGCAAGTTCTTACGAGGGATGAGAGGACAGCCTGCCAACTCTAAACCAGGAGTGGGGAATCTGTGCCCCCACTAACTCCCAAGTGCTTCAGGTAGCACAGCCTACAGTCAGAGATGATACGAGTTATATGGCTAACCTGATCCAAAACACCCACCCACCCCACTCACACATGAAAACAAAGACCACCACAGCCAACCACAAATGAATAACCACACCCTAGGACAACCCCAACCTCTCTCACCATCAAAAGAACCCAAGTGAACAGCAAAGAACCTGCACAAGCAACGCTGACACCAAACCCTACATATAGTAAGTAAAAAAGAAATATCACCCCCCGACCCCAACCCCACCCATCTTCCCTCGCCTTTCCCCCTTTTCTTCCTAATGTCTCAACAAATGAAACTGATTTGTAAAAATATTACATGGGGAAAAAATACGAGAGAAGAGACATTGCACACACTTTTGTAAATCAAGAAAATCTTTAATAATAATAAAAAAGAGATGATATGAGTTGAAGTTCAGGAACATCTAGAGGGGCACAGGCCTTGCCTTTATTTAATAGCTTTTTAGTCTGCCCTTGAAAACAAAAACCCTCCCTCTGGTCAGCTTACACAACATCGCTCAATGAAAACACAAGTAGCAAGGAGGAGAAAAGCCAGTGCATCAAGCCATCCAGATCAATTAAGGGCTAATTGTTCTTTAAAAGGTTTGGGGTGATAATCTGGCAGAGAAGAAGTTTAATGCTCTCAGCCCTGTCTCTCTGGGAGAGAGCCTTGCACAGGCAGAGGGGACATCACCAGAAAGGTGCTGTCTGCCCCTTGCCACTCCGAATGCAATGGACGCAACACACACACACTTACACTTCAGAATAAGGGACAAAAATGAATTCCATTTATCCACATCTCTCCCATTCAGGGCAAAATCTCTACCAAATTCAACTTATGGTTCATCTGCTTTTTGCTCATAAGAAGTTAAAATGGGCACCACAGGGAGAGGACACATTGCATTTCTCAAGCCAGCAGGTCAAGTTCTTCCCATCTCTGCTGCCTAGCCAAGTGGCTGGCAAACTCCAAAACAACCAGGCAAGGGTTAAGCAGCACTTGGGGAAAATAGATCTATTGTCCTCAGTGCACCAAGGGCCCCTTTTGTCTTGCAATTTGAGAGCAGAAAGTCGTTGGATGATGTCGAGAACCCAGGACAAAAAGAACTTTCATCTACATCCTCCCAATGGGTCGGGCAGGCAGGACAGAATGAAATCGAAGGCAATTCAGAAGGACAATGTGCCACACATCCTGGATGTGTTATAGCACAACATATATACTCCTTTTGGTTAACTCTCTCCAGCACTATCATTCCAAAGACACGAGGTTAGGGAATACTATAACTGCTGCCACTGTCACTACTTGTGGATACAGGCAGCCCCCCCCATTTACGCGGGGGTTATGTTCCGAGGCACTGTGCACGTCAGAAAGATCATGTAGAAATGAAGCCCACCGAAAAAGCCTGCAAACACCCCGTTCCACCCTTTTAGTGGCATTTCAGTGACATCTTTATGACATTTCTGGGTTTGTTGCGATGCATGTTAGCTCTGTCCATTAATTTCAATGAGTCTACTCTTGGGTGAGACTAACCCTGGTCTAGAGTCTTGTTATTTAATAAGCAAATAATAAAATCCATAGTCTTAGCTGCTATGCTACACCACCTCTTGCATATATATACACACAGTGGCTTATTCAAAATCGAAACGCTAATTTAAATAAAATACTGGCTTAAAAATCAAACATGACAAGATCCACAATTGAAATAGGAGCAATTTCAACACTAGTAGCAGAGACATAAAATCAAAACCATGGGTAAGTCTGAATAAAATTGAATTCAAAAACGTCTGAATTAAATCAAAATCTCTGGCTGCCTAAATGCATCCATGCGAGACACATTGTCCAAATCAAGCCATGTTGCACAAGAGTGGAGCAAACAGACACAGCAATCACAGAGGGATCTTTTCTCTTTTTTAATCAAGAGTCTGCTCAGCTTGAAAGAGTCCCTGCTGCTCTCTGCAGGGACATTTCAGTTCTACTCCAAACAAAGCCTCTCTCCCATAAAGCAGACGGCCTGATTCCTATGCTAATCACACCCTACTAAACTTCCAGGTTCTCACTGAGCTGGTACACCTGTGGCAGAGATGCACTGCTTCAGACTGCAGGTGGGGATTGAATGATTCAGTGCTCCTACCAGGGTGGGGGCAGGAATACAAGTGAAGGGCTATGCTAGATCTTTATTCTTTGCATGCTAGTTCTCCATGTGCTGTACTTACGGAGGAACAGTCTATCATGTGATATCCCTCCAACACTGCAATATGAAGTGATGTGGCCCAGTCACAGGCTGACCACCTCCATGAGAGATAGGTGGGCAAGATAAAGCCCTTGACCAAATTTCAAATGGGTAGCAAAAAGAGAGGAAAAGGGAGAGTGGCCAAAAATAGCCCCACCCACAAAAAAATAACCCCTACAGAATGCAACCCTGGACAGAAAAATAATAATGATCATCAATAACAACAACATTGTTCATTGCCAGGAAATATAGTCTATCTACCTGGTGCAGACTACCAGCAGACGGGAAGATTATGTACAGGGAGAAAACCGAGGAAGGCTACTCACCATTAGGGGGTATTTAAAATTGTCACTATCAAGGGAACACTCTTTCGAAGCAACAGCCAGGCCTTGTAAAATGGGGATAAATATCTGTTCAGAGAAGAAGGAAAAGGGAGAAAGAGAATCATGACTTGTACTTTCCACTTTAGCAGGCAAGGCTAATATGTATTATTGTGTATTATGACATTATCAATTATGATGATGATGATTTAAATTTATATACCACCCTTCATCCGTAGATCTTCACAACATAATGACTTTGCATTGCTTATTATCATTAACTTTAAATGCATGACTATTTAAGTTATGTATTGTATGAGCATTATGTTAGGCTATGTATGTTCACTACGTTCTATGCTGTAGCCGGTCCTGTGGTCTTTTGACAAAGGGCCGCATATACATTTCAACAAAATAAAAATGAATAATCAAGCCCGGTTTCCATGCAGCCCCTGGGTATGTATCAACTAGCTAGAACCAGGCTTACAGCATTATTATTATTATTATTATTATTATTATTATTATTACCACCATCATTATGATCATCGCTGTATTTGCAGATTTGCAGATAACATTATTACACTGCAAACCGACTTAGATGTTTTACTGCAGTCAAGCAGTCTATACATTCCGTCAACTAAATAACAGGCCACCATTTCAACACAAGTTTTCAGGGCAGTGAACACTTAACTTAAAAAGAAAACACAGCAATAAAACTATAAAACAACAATATCTCAAGAACAGCAGAACACAAAACAATCAACAGCAAAATCATCCGGTTAACCCCCATAAGCCAAATTTAACAGCTGTGTTTCAGTAGGTGACAAAAAGATGTAAATGACGGATTGAGCGTATCTCCAATGAGACGGAATTACAAAATGGGGGAGCCATCACCAACTAGGCCCTATCTATGACAGTCTCATGCACCAGTATTATTTTATTTTAGTGAAGTTCATATGCCTTTAAGGGCATGCTAATCATTACACCACTTAGTATGCAGCATCAGACTGCAAGGGGGGGGGGGACTGCCACTCTCTCGAAACTTGAGGTCCTTGTGCTCTTATTTCCTTCAAGCCCCTCCCTCAAAATTCACTTGACCAGAGCCAGGAATACTTTGGAACAACCCCTAGTCCTAACACCCCGTTGTAACCAAGTCAACATACATGCAACTTAAATATTTGCGCTCCTCCTTCCTTGCATGGCCATGCATTCATCCCACCTCCTCTTCTGTATTTCCTTGTATCTATTTTTAGATTGCAAGCTCTTTGAGGCAGGGCAGGGAGGGACACATCAAACTCGTTCTTTTGTAATGTGCCATGTACAATGATGGTGCAGCAGTATGGATAAAGAGACGTGAACAGAATCACCCTTCTGCATTTATTACCACAACAGCTCGGAAAGGAAGTTTCGGCTCAAAGATTGTGATTGGCCCAGGAACACCCAGCCAGCTTTGCGCCTGAACTGGAATTTGAATTACACTCTCCCTAGCTGAAAGTGCAACACACTAATCCCAACACCAGTGGAGCCAGTGTGGTGGTGTGGCTAGACCTGGGAGGCCAGGGTTCAAATCCTCAGTCATACAGCTGACTGGGTGATCTTGGACCAGTTCCTCACTCTCAGCCTAAACTACCTCACAGGGTTGTTGTGATGATAAAATGGGGAGAACTATGCATGCTACGTTGGGCTCTCTGGAGGAAAGGTGGGATATACTTGCAATTTTATCTATATGCACACACACATACACACATCAGTGAATCGCTGTAGGTTATGTGTATAATGCCCAAAGTGAACAAGGCCTCTGCACAGAGTTTGCGTTCCGTTATTTGGTATTGTTGCAAGTCACTAAAAACGACCGGTCACTTACCTGTTTGAACACCTCTTCATCCTGATGGGTCGTTCTCACCAGCTCTTGGATGAAGCCAAAAGGGAGATTCCTACAGAGCATGTACGGGACTAGCAACGACTGCTGCTGTAATGACCTTATGCACGAGAAGGAGGACATGGGGTGAAGATTGGGAGGAGAGGGGCTCACGAAAATACCACCCAACAGATGGCAACAAGTAGGCCCAACTCACCTCGGTTGCGTTAAGGATCCTTGGAGCACCAAAGCAGCATGGGAAATGCATTGAGATCGGATGTTGCTCAGTAACTGGCTCACCACCGGCTGGCTACACATCTAAGGGAATAAATGGAGTAATGACTGCCGGCAATGCTGGGGCCCAGCCGCTGCAAACCCTAAAAGCAAAGTGGCACAATTCTTCCTAAAACCTTTTACCTCAGGGTTGGGGAACAGCTGCGGCCCTCCAGCTATTGCCAGACTGCAACCACCCCAAACCACTGGTCATCCTGACCAGGGCAACATAAAGGTGATTAAAAAACATCAGTAGTGTTACATTAGTAATGTATTTGTGGCAATTGAAGGTAGGTTTTCGTACATTATTTTTCCAGGCATCAAAAGTTTGCTACAGCTCACAACAGTATTTATTTATTTGTAGCGCATTGTTATTATTATTATTTTTATTGTATTATTATTTATTGAATTTATATACCGCCCTATACTGGGAAGTCTCAGGGCAGTTCACAGAACAAAATCAAAATATAAAGCCACAAAATGTATAAGCAAAATAAAAACAACAACACAACCCTCCCCCCCCCCCAAAAACCCACCACATTTTAAAAGGGTATAGGATGTCAATCAAATCATCCAAAGGCCTGGTTAAAAAGGAGCCAGGTGCATGGCGCCTAAAGGTGTATAATGAATGTGCCAGGCGAACTTCCCTGGGGAGAGCATTCCACAGACAGGGTGCCACTGCGGAGAAGGCCCTGCTCTTTAGCAAAAAATGCTCAAACTTCTTCTCTGGGTTGGAGGGATCTGGAGTGGATATTGCACCTTAAAATTCCTTTCCCCTCAAAAAAAAAAGAAAAAAAAGAAAAGAAAAGAAAAGAAAAGAAAAAGAAGCAAAAACTGATTGCAGAAGATGATCCTTCTCCTCAACATACCTTTGGTGCTTTTCTCTCCTCTATCCCCACTCGGTCAAAACACTCAATGAGGTAGTTCAGCATCTCAGTTTCCTTGCATGTCTCGATGGTGAAGTGGTCGCTGCACGAGTCAGAAATGCTGGCTCCTCCAGAGCCTCCACCACTTTAAGGGAATAAAGGAAAGAATCATAAGCTAAGTGGCTGTAAAGCCACTTCTTCCCACAGCAGTCAGTGAAAGTTGGCAGTCCATGGAGGGAGAGCTGTGGCTTTGCACCACTTGCACAGAGAACTCTCCACAGAAAAGCGTAGACCCACAACACGAGTTATTTACATCTGTTAATTTTCCGCTCTGGTGGCAGTACTACTTAATTTTTTTTAAAGGTTTGCTGGTCCGCAAACAACCTGGCTCTGTCTCCATTCACAGAAACATAGGATTGTAGAGATGGGACGCCTAGTGTCATCTAGTCTAACCCCCTGCAATGCAGGAATCTCAACTAAAGCACCCATACCAGATGGCCATCCAATCTCTGCTTAAAAACCATCAAGGAACCAGAGTCCACCAACTCTTGTGGGAATCTGTTCCACTGTCCAACAGCTCTTGCTGTCAGAAAGCTCTTCCTGATGTTTACTTGGAATCTCCTTTCTAATATCCACAGATGACCATGTATTAGAAGTCATATCAGAACAGGGGCCTACACTCAAAAGGCACTGCTCCTTGTTGCAGTGGCAACAACTGATTCAATCCACAAGAATCGTGCAATCGGCGTAGGCCCTATTCTAATATGGCAGGCCCTATTCTAATATTATCAGCCAGACAGCCACATTCCCTTCTGGGCAAATGTAGTCAGGCTTTAGATACCAAGGAGGCAGCCTTCCTGATCGGCCCCACAGAAACGAGGCAGATCCTCAGTACTTGCTTGCACCTATGTCAGGCACAGAGGACAGCCAGCCAGTCTGCTCTGTGAAAAGCTGGTATATTACTCAGCGTCATCATTCAGTGACAAAGCACATGCATTGCACACAGAATGTCTCCAGGTAAGACTGAGATGCTGCTAACTAGTGTAGACAAGGGGTGAGGAACCCTTTTTCAGTTCAAGGGCCACATCCCCTTCTGGGCAACCTTCTACTCCAGCACCCTGTTCTTACAGTATCCAATCAGATGCCTTCAAGCAGGACTTGAGCGCAAGAGCTCTCTTTCCTCCTGAGCTCTCCATTAACTGGTATTCAGAAGCATTGCTGCCTTCACCTGTGGAGGCAGAGAATAGCCATCCTGGCAAGTAGCCACGGATAGCTCTCTCTTCCACGAATTTGTCTGATCCTCTTTTAAAGCCATCCAAGGTTGGTAGGCATCGTTGCCTCCTTTGGCAGCGAGTTCCATAGTTTATAACTATGCACTGCATGAAGGAGGACTTCCTTTTATCTGTCCTGATATCCGCCTTAAAGGAAAGGCATCCTTAATCTGAAAGACCCTAGAGCTACATTTAGATCACTTGCTGAGCAAACAGGGAAGCCTCCGTCCTCAGTAACACACACACACACACACACACACACACACACACACACATATTGTGGAGATAAAAGCAACCCTCTCTCTTAAGTAATCATATACCAGATGCCAAACACACCACCTACAGTCTCCAGAAGGCAGCTTATCATATAACATTTGCTTTATAGATTAAGAAAGGCTGATGGCTGTACATTTTGAAATCAGCCACAAGAGCTGGTTAAAATTCAGGCAGAATTACCATCACAGCACACCAAGGATATATGCATGTGTGGTGTGTACGTGTGTACACACACACACACACACACACACACACCCTCTTTAATTGCTGAGATAGATTTTCTGTTCTGTCTGCAGCCTTTATTAACACTTTTTTTTTATGTGCTGGCTATTCTTTTTAAAAAATTATTTTATGCTGATGGTCAAATTTCCCTGGTGGGAGGGAAGTGGAATAGCCCTTTTAAGTACGCACATAAATAAAACTGGCCAGCATTAACATTTTGCAGTCAATCATCTGCAAAGCAACAGACAGGACATCCTCTTCTGATTCACAGGCTCCTCCCATCCTTAAACCAATTAATTAGCAGCTCCAGCCGAGGAACTCTTTCACACCTTCCATCATTAAACCTGCACAGTCACTTATGATTAGCATTTCCTTTACCTTGAAGACAACACCTCTCAGATATATATATAAATATATGCCGGCTAGGTAGGACTCATTCTGTCTGTTTATGCTTTTGAGCCATTAACAGCCTGCAAGGTCACCTTGCTTCCTAGGAGGAGGGTGCGTGTGTCAGTAGAATAGTATACCCCCTTGCACACCTTGTTATACTGCAGGTGCAATGACAGGCACCTGCATTTTATCACAGCAACACACAATACGGCAAATTCCTGGTTTCTCAGGTGTGTGAAACAACCCTGGAAGGGTGCATGTCTTAAAATGAAGGGAGGATGAGCAGTGCTGACTCTTAGTCAAATACAACAACATGCAAAAGTAGTCTGGGGACAAGCAAAGAATGACTACTTTGCAAGAGAGCGGGATTTTTATCACCTTTGTTAATGATAAAACTAATGATTTATATCCTCCTCTTCATTGTATGATGGTTTGGACATCTTAAAAGTGAACTGCTCTTTTGCTAGCTTTAATATATTCTGGTATGTGTTATGATTCACATATAAATTGATATTTCTTTACCACGTTTGCCTGCTAAGGGGCATTCACATAACACTTGGAAACAAAGGGTCTGTTGGGTTTTGTTTTGGGGTTTTTTTGGTTGGCAAGAGAATTGGTTTTGTTCAATTGGTCAGTTCATTTATTATAATGGTTCTGTGTATGCTTAAAAGGTAAAGGAACCCCTGACCGTTAAGTCCAGTCACAGACGACTCTGGCGTTGCGGTGCTCATCTCGCTTCACTGACCGAGGGAGCCGGTGTTTGTCCGCAGACAGCTTCTGGGTCATGTGGCCAGGATGACTAAGCCACTTCTGGCAAACCAGAGAAGCACATGGAAACACCGTTTACCTTCCCGCCAGAGTGGGACCTATTTATCAACTTGCACTTCAACGTGCTTTCAAACTGCTAGGTTGGCAGGAGCAGGGACCGGGCAACGGGAGCTCACCCTGTCGCGGGGATTCGAACCGCCGACCTTCTGATCGGCAAGCCCTAGGCTCTGTGGTTTAGATGACAGTGCCACCCACGTCCCTGTGTATGCTTGGTGTAATGCAATTGCTTTAGTCAACTTCCTCGGCTTACTTATTACTTATCCTTGAAAATCTAATAAGAATTATTCCAAATGAAAAACAGAAACAGCATGATGCTCCATGCTCTGACCCACAGTTGTTGATGGAGGCGCCTCATCAGCACAGGATTCACTTCCATGTCCACACCCAGCGACTCCAGTTCAAATGACCCCCTTGAAGTGCTTTAGGGTTCCTATATAGCCACCAAGGCCAGGTCACATGGGTACTGAGCACTGGAAGGAATCCAGCATTGCACTGCTACCAATGTTTTGCTTCTGCTTGCCCAATGAAACAATCTGCTCCCCCTGCACACCGTTCTGAGGGCTTCCCTGATTCCCCACCCCAACCAACTAGGAGGGGGGCACCAGAGATAAATCCCCACGAAGCTAGCAGATTATCAATGAACATGCTTCCACTAGCAGGGACCTAAGAGCCCTTAAAGTACAGTGGAGCAGTAGCAGCCCTCCTGCACAAATGGTTATGATGTGTGTAAGGTGGGGAGGAAGAGGATTGTTACATTTACTTTCCACCTTTTCTCAAAGGAGATTCAAGTGGAGGACACACCTCTCCCAGCTCTCCAATTTATCATCACAGGTAGGTTAGGCTGAGGTAGTGATTGGCCCAAGGTCACCCAGTGGGTTTCCTGGCTGAGTGGGGATTCAAACCCTGATTTCCCAGGTCTTAGCCCAGCACTACAACATGCTGGTTTTGCAGTCTCACCGGAGGGAAGTGAACTCCTGGCTATGTATCCAATGCTATTCCAACTCAGAGCAGACTCAATTAAACTAATTTCAGAGGGTCAGCTGTGAATAGGTTTTGGTTGGTCACAACGCCTTAGTTTGCCAAGAGCAGCGCAGTCTCCTGTCTGAAGACCCCAAGGGCCATCTAGTCCAGCCCCTTGCAATGCAGGAATCACAGCATGCAAATGAACAGCATCTTCTATATGGGGCTGTGGGGGGGAATAATATATTCCTGTACCTAAGGAGCCAACAGCTATCCCTTTTGAATTTGGTGCTTTCCACTGTTGCACTGATTTCAGAAGTGGCTAGACACACTCGAGAGCAATTGGGACCTCCCAAGTGTATCTGATTCCTGTCGAAAGCAACGTGACAAGGCAAGGCGCCAAATCCACAAGGCGCAGAATTCAAGGCGCCCCTTTGCAGCTGTGGCTTGAATTGGGCATCATCTAAAGCTAGGAACCCGTTCACCCTGCCCTGCCCTGTGATATCACACGATGGACGGAATGGGCATGCTTGGCTCATTTGGAGATAGGAAGGATTAAGTCCAGAGGTTGGAGGAACCCCACAACAGACTTAAACTCTCCTGCCTTGGCTCTACTGAACATTTCAGTAGTTAATGTTGGGAGATCTAAGCACCCTGGAACGAAAAGGTTCCAAGAATAGAAATTATAATCTCTTAACACACCTGGCTGGAAAGTAGAGGTTAAGGAGCCTGTTTCAAACATTGCCCTTCCCACCCTCCTCACTATAAGGCAATATTGGATAGCCTTTCCTCCTGGTCTCGGAGGCTTGGAGGGGAGAAAACAGGTTTAATGGGGATTGTTAAAATGTGAGCAAAACCATGCACAAGAAGTGTTATTATGGGAATGGAATTAGATGCAGCTGTATTTTTGGGGGGAGAGGGTGTTATGATATGGTAGGCAGAAAAGTAAATGTAAACACATGTTAGTTTTAAGCACCCAAGCATAGGTAGGTTGCACACTTTCTGGAATACCTGGACCCAAATTGGACACAAGAAAAATCATCCTCATCCTCGTCCTCATTTTCTTCATCAGAACTGTCCCCAGAAACATCAGAAACGGCAAGGAGGAGGGAAAAAGGGTTGTCGTACATACTATTCATAACAAAAGCAAATATGGACCAGTGAATATGAAAGAGAGAAGAGAGAAGGGTGAAAGGAAGACCAAAAAAGAAAGGGGGGAAATATAAAGAGTAACTTGTTCTACCAACATAACATTCACCGCAAGCATGCAAGCATGCAGAAGCCACGACAATGCTACTACAAGCAAAAGGTGCTGGATGCAACTAAGTCCTACTCATAGTAGACCCACTGAAATGAACAGACCTAAGTTAGTCATGCCTATGAACTTTACTGGGTCTACTCTAGAATAGAGCTAGCTACAGACACAACCCCAAAAAGTATTCAGGTCAATGAAAGCAAAGCAGTATCTGCTTTCTCTCCAAGTGAGAGAAGGGCTAGGTTTTATAAAGAGGAGTCTTTTGAGAAGAATTAAGGTAGCAAATCACATATGGAAGCCCTTCAGTTCTCTGGCTGACTTCTGTACATGGCCATACAACTAGGCCACAGTCCCCACTGCCACTTATCCCAACTGGAATAGGAACTCCAGCATCTCAGGCAGAGGTTCTTGTATGCAAAGGGACCCTCTCCTTATGCAAATCGTGCCCTGCAGACTAGGGTGCTTTGGGTCTTCCTCATGACCATCTATGGCACTGCCTTACACCAAGTCTGCTCCCTGGTCAATTTAGCTTGGCCTCAACCAGCATGGGGACTTGCAGATGCATTGGACTGAAGCAGCTATCTTCAACCCAGTTACGGTCCATCCCCTAAACACACCGGTTCTAACTGGACAACACAACCCACAAACAAAATCAATGCCCTCCTGCTATCTGCTGGTCATTGAGCAGATCCCATTCAGATGGAGCCACTGAAGCAGGTGTGCAGAACTTCTGGACCTCCAGGTGCTGCTGAACTACATGCTGGCTGGGCGCTGACGGGAGTTGCAGTTTAGTGAGGGGCACAGAGGTTCCCCATACCTGCTATTAAGGGAGTGTGAAAGCAAACCTGGTGAGTAATGCAGCAGGTGTTAAAACAATCATAGCTATCAACGAGAACAGGCCAGAAAACTCGCAACACAGTAAGTCTACTTGCTACGGAGTTCAGTTTAAGAGTTAAGCTGGTAAACACTATATATTTTTCAAAAAGCACCAGCAATGCATGAACTAATTTCAACACAGGGGATCTCTTCATCAAAGTAAGCAGGTAGAGAAGGATTTTATGGCATGGTGGCCTTGCACCAGAACACAGTTCAAGCAACCGCCCTTTAGTTTTCATACATACACACAGAGTGTCCTGGGGTCCCCTTATGAAATCCCATGAGTTGTATCCATTTTTTACCCAAACTTTAACACTGGACGCAACCCTATGCCTTTTAGTACCATCATTACATTGACGGCACCCAGATCCCTCTCCATCCCTAAACTGTCCTTTCGCATCATTTAAGCACCCCCAACTGCCTCAAACAGCTAAGAACCTAATAAGACCCTTCTGGGTCAGACCAAAGGCCCATCCAGTCCAGCGCCCTGTTCTCACAGTGGCCAAGCAGATGCCTCAATGGGAAATCAGCAAGCAGGGCCTGAGCACAACAACACTCTCCCCTCCTGCAGCTTCCAGGAACTAGTATTCAGAAGCATTGCTGCCTCCGTGGGGGGAGGGCATAGTCACCATGGCTTGGATGCTTAATCACAGTCTCAAGTCCATCCCTTAAAGCAGCCAGGTCCCTCCTGCACCCAATGTGACTTTTATTTTTAAAGCTCTTCATTGAGCACACATAAAACTGACACAAGATTGGTTGCAACAGACCGTTAAAGCATCAAGGTAAGAGAAATAAAGATAACTGCCATAGATACAAAGAATGGCAGACCTAAAAGGTCTATGGGGCAACGTGCCATCAACTTGCGACCATACTGTTTAAATTATTTCATTGCCTGTCTATATGGTACTGGGCCAAGTTTAAGGTATTACTTTTAGTTTATAATGCTCTAAGCAACGCAGGACCTGATTTTCTGCCTTGCCTTGTGCCATCTGGTTCCTGAGCTCAGCTGATTAGTTCCTGCGGGTCAGATGGGAGAGGATCCATAGGTAACAGGTCCTTCAGCATGGTTGCAGAACTGTAGCAATTAGGGCAGGCACCTACTTTCCTCTGCTTTAGACACTTTTATCTGTGTCTAACCTGTTGAAAACCTCTCTTCCTATTACTCAGGTTGAATTGGCACTTTCAGTCTGCTGCTGAAGTGATCTACGCTGAATAATTTGTTTTATGCTTTTTCATTTCGTTTCGTTGCTGGTCTTTACCTTGTATGTACTCTTGTTTGCTGCCTGCTTTTACATTGTGCAGCTTATACATTCTGAAAGCAAGCAAGTAGAAGTCAACAGGAAAGATCCATCTAGACAAGGAGATCAAGGTAGGGAAAGCACTCTTTTCTCAAAACAAGTTATCAAGCAAAGGTGGGCACGTTATCCCCAAATTTCGGGGGAATCAAGAATGTCACTATTTGTTCACCTTCTCTCCCCTAAAAGAAGCTGTGAACTTTACACATCCTACGCCAAAAGCTTTGTGGTTCAACAGGTGCCACTTACAGTCAGTGTATTAGCTTGCCTCAAGCACAATTAGGAACCAAAAAAAGCTTATTATGTTGTTAGCTGAGTTCTTCTGAAGTGCATCAAGTCACACCAACTCTGCACAGCACACATTAAAATGCAAACTCAATACCTAGACGGTGTCCTGCTCAGGAAAGAAGAATGTCTGCCAAGGGGCCCGGGCGAAGCAGGGAACAGAGGCAGGGCCATAGCTACGGGCCTAAGCCTGGGCAAACCAGCCCGCACAGCTGGAGGACTGGCGCTTATAACAGGAGGAGTTGGAGAGCGGGAGAGGGTGGAGGTGCTTGCTGAAGGCAGAGTGGGAAGAGCTGGGAAGGCCCAGGGATGAGCCACCATGTACGGGCGGTACCTCGGGGATGGGGGTTGGACTACCAGTGGGCCTGCTGGCACAACATGAGGGCTAGCAGAAATGGGAGGGGTGGGGGCAACTGGGCTGGCGGAAGAGGCAAGGAAGGAACCGGCTAAAGGTGCGCGGCTTGAGAGGCTGAAAAGAGGAGCTGGGCTGGTTCCATAGAGACTAAAGTCAACGAAAAGAGGGAGGAGGAGGAAGAAAGGAAGGAAAGAAAGGAAGAAAGAAAAGAGAGATAAATTGGGAGCTTAGAACACAGCAAAAAGGGAAGGTAATAAGATACAGAAACAGGCAAGACAGCTCAACATTTCCCCTTCCGGTACGATCCTATTTTATACCCATTTAACTTGCATGATTTCAGCTATAGGAGTTGAAGGCACACTTGCTGAAATTGCTGAAATACCAGCAAGGCAGAGAATTTTAAACCTTAGGGTTTCCTGGTGCAGAAAGAGCTTTTCAGCACTGTGCCATAGATTTTGGGGGGGGGGCAGTCAAGGCCCATTCGGCATGCCAGCTTTGGGAGTCCTAGACATACCCCCCCCCGCTAACTGTGGGGTGGTTCCAAGGGTTTAGGAATGCGTACCAAACCCCTGTGTAAGAAGTGACTGTATTGTACTTTTCTCACCACAGGGACTGATGCCTTACTTTGGCCTACAAAGCAGGGGTGTCTAACCCTGTTACTGTTGGGGCTCCAACTCCCAACAGCCAGGAATGATGGGAGTTGTAGTCCAGCAGCATCTGGAAGGACAAAGCTTCTGCAACTCTGCTATAAAGAGTCATCCATATATAAATGAATCTGAAAACTACCGTATATACTTGAGTATAAGCCGACCTGAATATAAGCTGAGGCACCTAATTTTACCACAAAAAAACTGGGAAAACTTATTGACTCAAGTATAAGCCAGTTCACTACACTACAAACCTGGTGGTGGCAGCAGCAGAGGAGGAGGAAGGTGCAGCCCGAAACGGCTCCTTTCGGGTCACTCATCCCTCCGCCGCTGCCTCTGCCACTCGCAAGAGCAGGCATAGGAGCCGTGGTTGGGAGAGGCACAGTACAGTGCAGCGCATCTCCCAACCGTGGCTCCTGTGCCTGCCCTTGCGAGAGGCGGGTGGCGGCGGCGGGACCAGCGGCGAGAAAGGGCTCTTTTCGGGCTGCTCATCCCGCCCCCGCCCCCCTCACTCAAGTATAAGCCAGGGGGGCTTTTTCAACATAAAAAATGTGCTGAAAAAGTTGGCTTGTACTCGAATATATACGGTAAATGCATGTTAAAGTGAAGGGATAGCTGCCATTTGCAGGTGCATTTCCCCACGGAGCACACGCATTCTGGCATCCTAGTAATCTCTGCCTTTGTTTAACAGGAAGAGCTCCCAGAAGTTTCTAGCTCTCATTAGTGCTCAAAAAAGTTGAATGACAGGGGGAGAAAAGAAATGAGAGGTTCTGCTCAGCGGACAGTTATCATAGAAGAATTGGCCAGGTTTTCTATGGCTACGCTTCAAACAAATACCATACTTTCCCCCCACCCTCCGGGCACCCATCACACCTTGCCTTGCACTGCAGAACTTGGAAAGAACCATTTTGCACACCTAACCCCTCTGCTCTGCCCTCGCAAACTCACTAACATGGAACCCAGCTAGTTATGCAGCTATAACTTACCTCGATAAGGAGCTGGAGCCAAACGAGCCCACGTTACAGAAAATGGGGCTCGTTCCTGGATTGGAACCAGTGTTCAGAACCAGATTTCTATCAGGCGACCGAGCAGCTGCTGCAATGGGCTGCGAGGTGGCTGTCAAACTGGCAAAGGGGTTTTCCTCCTTCGACTGGGTCGACATCATCAGAACTTCCATCAGGATCTGGCCAATCAAGTCTTTGAAGTCCGAGAACACTTTTGAAGAAAGACAAGAGAGAATGACATGAACGTTCTCCGCTGTAAGCACCTCAGAAGCAAAACAGAGTTTAAGGGAAAGATCTGAAGATTATGAGGTGGACAAGCCAGATAGTCTTGAGAAAATATAGCACATGGACTCAGCAGGGGCTGTATCCCACCAAGTCCTGCTCAGAGCAGATCAATTGAAATGAATGAACATTAATTTCGAGAGATGTACTCTGAGCACCTGCTTTTTGACAAACACCCCGTACAGCTTGAAGGAAAGCAAGGAACTAACATGAGCCTGCTGAATCAGGCCAAGGGCCTGTCAACCCAGCATCCTCGATGACAACAAAAGCTTCTCAGCATTAGGAGTGCCAATATCAGCCACACCTTCCATATCAGCCACCGTATCACCCACTTCTGTTTCAAAGACAGGAGCTGCAGAGGAATCTGAAAGTATTGGCAAGTCTAACGTCCTTGCTTGCCAACAAAACAGACTGAATGCTTTCCATCTTCAAGTCGTGAACACGGTGGGAGCTGAGCCACCCACCAAATAAGAGTCCTTCCCCTCCCTACACACACTCTTTGGTGCCAGCTCAGACACCATCTGGTGATGACAAATGCAATTTGGAGCTCTGTACCCACCGAAGGAAATCCAACGCAGCAGCTAGATGGGAACTCGCTAGCCCATGCCACCAGCCATCTCCCATGAACAAGCAACTGTATTAATCACTAGCCTTTGTTTAAGCATGATGGGACACGTGGGAAGGGGGCTTTAGCTCAGCAGCAGAACACAAAGCTTTGTAAGCAGAAACTCAGTCCCAGAACCTCCTGCGCAACAATCTTAGGTAGGTTGCAAAGACCTTTGCCTGAGAACCTGAGTCCGTAAGAGAGTGGAACACCAGGCTGGAAGGCCCAATGGCCTGAGCTGTGATCTACTGACCTTATACCAGGCTGCTCGAGTCTTAATGTGTGGAACTACAGCTCCAATCACCCTTGACATCCAGCCATGCGGGCTGGGGCTGACAAGAATTGTAGCACAACAACATCAGGTTGGAGAGGGCTGTCTTATGTGTGTCCACAATAGAGAGGCAGAGAGAAGGAGTGGGGGGGGACCACTCTCATTTGGGGTGGATCCATAGTTCAGTGGTATGTAAAAGACCCCCAGCTTCTGTCCAGTTGGTGCTAACCTGTAACAAGGCATTTTCAGTGGTGGTTCTCTGCTTGTGGGATGCCCTCTCTGGCGATGTACAATGCCTCTATCATTATTAACTTTCAGGAGGAATTTGAAAACATTCCTATTTGCCCAGGCATTTGGTGGTTGAAGAATACTGTTCCTGGCAATCTCAAGGTCATTGGATGCTTTCAATTGTAACTGCTTTTAATATATTTTTAAACGATTTCAGATGCTATAGTTAACATTTGTTTTTAGAACATTTTAATATGTTTTAGAATGTTTTTGCTTGCTTTGTATTTTTTAAATTGTGTATCTGTTTGCCATCCTGAGCTCCTGGGGGAGGAAGGGTAGATATAAATTCAAATAAATCTGCTCCAGTTTGCATTTATTTGATAATTCCAACCCCCCCCCCAAAAAAATCTCTTTTCCCTCTCTTTTGCTTCCACTGTTTTTGGTTCATACGTGTATTTTGACCCAAGATATCTAAGAATAAACAAGATAAAATTTTAAGTAAGCATTTTGCCTAGAAAGATTTTTAATTAAAATAAAACTGAAAAATCTCTGTAGCTGTTTGAGAAATGCTTCTACCTGAGACCTTGTAATGCTGCTGCTGGCCAAGATAGAATACAGCATTCAATTAGTAGGATGGTAAGCAGCCCGGCTTCTGAATTCAGCATCATCAACAAACACTTGGGATTAAACCTCAGGTTCCTTACCTTCCTTTGGGTTCTGTTTAAACTGCTCAGAAAGCGAAGTTAGGAAGATGACGTCTCTGTCTCTGTCCTTCCAGGAGACCCGGAAAATCTTGCAGACCAGCTGTAAGGCTTGCTCTTCCGATATCTCTGATCCTGATGGGGGCTCCTTTATCATGGGGAGGGGGGAAAGAGGAAAAAGATTCGGGTACTCATTCTGAAAAGCCACGAAAGGGCAGGTATTCGTGATCATGTAAGCTAAGGGTTAGCAACCTCATTCTGGTCTGCTGTGCTACATTCCACCCTGATGCAAACATAATGCTCACTAACAGTGACAGCAAGTCATGGAAGGGTGGAATTTGCAAGTGAGAGAGAGGGTTGTGCCCTCCAGCACATTCCCCATCTCTCAAAGATGGTTCCATTTGTATTTGCATCCCACCTTCCAGGCCGCAAAGGACTCCCCACAAGGCTGCTTAAAATATTGAAATTATGCAATGAAGAAAGGCTAAGAACAAGAGGAACCTGCAACAAAATGTGGGAACATGGAGGGCCCCTGTTCAGAATGAAAACCAAACTGCCAATGTCTTCTTTCAAGATACACCAACCCCTCCCACCTATTTTTCTATTCTTCCCCTCCCCCCAACAATAATTCTGCATTCCAGGCAAAGTGAGGATGCTCAGCCCTCATTGGGCTGCTTTTGGGATCCCCTCAGGATCTCCCCCCCTCCAATGTTATTTTATTTTTAATTTCTGCAAACCTGGGGGTTCTCCCAAGCCTCTTGAACATGGGTGGTGCTGTTAGGCTACACAAGGATCGGCACTCACCTCTGAACTTCGGAAATAAAGGGATGGATAACAAACGGGCAAAAAACCCAAATCCATTGAAGCAAGCAAAAACTCAACGCAGGTCAAATAAGTTAAGCTTCAGGTGCCTACCTACAGGCAGTGAGGGAGCCAACTGAGCTTCTCTTGGAGAGAGTTTCACAACAGCATCGCCACAACCAAGAATCCCACCCCATATCCCACCCAGCTGCAACTCCTCCACTAGAGGCAGCACATGCAACAAGACTGATAACAAGCATAGGTGGTTTGTTGTTTGAAACTGAGCCCATAGCATTTTGATAACACACTCCTAACTTTTAACTGCCCAGAGGCCTTGGAAGTAAGAGTGAGCAAGAAACCCAGATGAATAAAAATAAACGAATGAACGTTCATTTTTAAACCCGTGCACACATTGCCCCATAAAGAGCAACAGTCAAGGGTCTCCAAGCTTCCCAACACCATCCAGTACAGCTTACCCACCTTATCAGTGAGGCTCCTTTTCTCTCTTCGGTCATTCTCGTCAACTTCCATGTTTTCAATTCCTGAATCTACATCCACCTGGGACATACTGTCAAGTAGAACAAAGAACCCATTAATTCTTCCAGGCACTTTCAATGAAAGTTGCTGACCGAAAAACAGGAGGGCTGCAGAACGTGAAGGCAGCTCAAGGAGGGAAAAGACTGACATACACAAGAATAACTGGATCCATTAACAAATGTTGCCATTAACAGCTACTAGTCAACAGCCCTAGCCTACAACCTATTGTACATAGTGTTTTGCTCTCCAAAGAGAGGCGGAAAACTTATTTGCCACTTTTTTATGAAAGCAACTCAAAGCATCTTACAGCAAAAAACAACAACACATACATTAAACCAGCCCAAAATTAAAACAGGTTCAAAGCTAAAACTCATTCATATCTTTAGAAGACAGAACTGTAACATCCTACCCAGTGAAGGAGGATACAGATAATCAAAAGTCAAAGGCCTGCAGCAAAAGGATGCTTTTGCCTAGCACCTAAAGGTAAGCAATGATCGCACCAGGCAAGTGTCTCCCAGGAAATGCCGCCATTAAAAAGGTCCGTTCTCACACTGCCACCCTCCAGATCTCTTTCTTTATACTTTTATTTATATAAGTATTTCATATACCACCATATCCTGTGGTTATACAAATAAAAGAGAACATAAAAACAGTACACGGTGAACATTAAAAAGACCAGTAGGGAGATTTAAACGGCATAGGCGTGTTGGCATGTCTTCAAGAGACCCCTGAAAGTTAACAGCAAGGGTGCCTGGCGAAACTGGCCATATTTGGTGAATACTGAAATCTGTGTGTTACTGACTTATAGTTTAAATTGGGCATAAGTCTTGGGGAGCAGAAATACGTGCATGAATTTAATATATTAACTATCATAAATGAACTGAAAAAACATATTCCCAGTTAAACAATATAGTGAGTTCTGGAAAAGGAGAATAGCAGCTTCTGGTTCACTGTAATCTTCTGAGAAGTATGTGCCAAATTTAAAACATGGTCGCTAGAGGAGGATTAGAATCTAGAAACCAAGAGAGGGACAACCCTTTGAAGGGTCTTAAATTTCTGTGATGGGATGAAAAATCTAGTTTCCCATTTCATGAGTGTGTGTGTGTTTCCTTTTCGATGTTATATTTGGTTGTTAATTAAATAATTTCAGAATGGATAAATTCTTTTAAAAAATAAAGACAGAAGAATTGAGTATTTTAATGGCTGAAATTTAACTGTAAGATTGCGGGGAAACTACAAAAAGACCCCTGGTGCTTCGAAGGCTAATCAAATATTTAATACAGAAGAAGCTTTCATGGATTAAATACCTTGCCAACTCATGTAGTCTCAGCCTGTAACTGGCATCATTCTTGCCACTGGAAATTGTTGTTTGGTTTTTTAATCAATTCTATTAATTTTTCTCATGTCCTTTTTTGTATTAAGCTTTAGTGTGTATGCTACAAATAATATGTTTAAACAATCTTCTAAAACTAAAAAGGAAAAGCCCCAAACAACATCTGAGCATAGACCACCTAGATCATTATTTGGTCCATCTAGCTCACTATTGACTACACTGACCGGCAGCAGCTCTCCAGGATTTAAGGCAGGGGACATTCCTGGCCCTACCTGGAGATGCCAGGGATTGAACCTGGGTCCTTCTGCATGCATCTCCAACCACAGAATATATGTAACAGTTAGAAGTTGCTGTTCTTTGCACCAGCAAATGTTCACCTGATTGAGGGGTTTCTACCCAGTCCCTTCAACTAACCCAGCAAGGCAGGAACTGCAGTCGTGAAAACCAAACAGGTGAGGGCCACGTTTGCCTCTTATCTCAGGACTCATGCTCAGACCACAGGGGCAAAGAGCATGACCCCAACCAAAAGCTCCCCTCTTCCTTTTCGCTTCTTTCTTCACTACCATTTTTCTTCCTAAAACATCTAAGCAATTGTAACTGCTTTACACACCGCCCTCACAAACACGTTTTGAGCAATCAATGTTGCATGCTATTGCATTATTAATTATTCAGATATCTTATCAGCCACTCTGATTGGGTTGTTAATATTGAGAGCTTTTATTACATTGTCAGTTTCTATTTTTTACCCTTTCCTTTTGAATTTCAGTTCCCACAATCGATTCCCTAATATGTGGTTGTGTGTTGTTGTTTTAAAATGGTAAATTTGACCCCATTACCAAAATAGCATCCTATCCCTCTGGGTGGGAGCTTAAAAGAGGCAGTTCTAACCAATGTATTTGCCAGCAGGACATTTTGGGTTAGAGAGGTGACCTTAGCCCATCAACCCCCCAACTGCTTAAGATGCCCACAGAAAAAAAACCTAGTTGCCAGCAAAGGCTTAAGCAGAAGATAACTCAGATTAGCTTCCCACATGTGTGTGTGTGTGTGTGTGTGTGTGTGTGTGTTTAGAGGGGGGTGTATGCATGCAATAAGGTTTTCCAGCTAGACTACATATATGCCACTTTTTCTGGATTAAAGTTAAAGAACCATCACCTCTTTGAGCATAAGATATGACTCAACTGGAGATTTATGAGCAAATGATATTCCACAAACACAAGATAGACGGGAAGCACTGAGTGCTGGGCTGACCTGGACCACCAGCTGCTCCCTCTCCCCCCATTTCACCTCTCCTGCCCCTTAAATATACACATAGTTCATGTTATTTTGATTCATTATGGTTTATTTTGTATTGTTCGACTGTATTCTTTTTGACTTCTTTGTGGGAATTTCAATAAAAACTATCAATTAAAAAGATCCACTTACTTTGCTAAAAGATACCCTGCCTAGTTCCCCAGAGACAATTCTATCTCACCACCAGGAACCAGGCGAGCAGCTATTTACAAGCTCATGTTAGAAACTGCTGAGCAGGGCATAAAAAACTAGCATCTGTATGAGCACAGGCAACAAACATCTGGGGCAACCCACAATGAGACAGCCTCAAATGAAGAGGGCAGATGGAAACTTTTTTACCTTTTCTCACAGGAGACACTATCGATATCCATGCTCTGCGACCGGGAGAGGGACTGAGATTGTGTTTCGAGGCTGTTTGATGGGGAGCTACTGAGCGAACTCACACCTTCGCTACTCTGGCTGCGGTGGGCTACACCTGCAGGGAAAGGACACCAGGGTGGGAAAAAACTGTATGTCATTTTGTTCCTACAACACATTCTTGAACTAACCACACACAGTGTTTGAAACTCCCATTGATCTAGGCGGGTTTTGCGACAGGGAATTTCATTAGCATGAGCAGTTTCTGAGCTCTGGGTGCAGTACTGTGCCTAAGATTTCAGATTAAAACTGCAGAGTGGAAGGAAAGGAGGGTCTTTTTTTGCCTCACCACTTCCAGTCACTCTCTGAAGACTGAAGAAGAGACCCTGTTAAGAATATTAGGGGGGCAGGCAGGGGAAGCATGGCTTTGTTTTTTGCAGTCTTCAGAGGAGGACTAGACCATGCGAAAATGAATGTGTGATTTTAGCCGTCGTTCATTCATTTTCAGCTTTGTATTCTTGTTTGGAAAAAAGCACGCCTAGACATTCCGTTGTTGCGCCCATAACCTAGGTTTAAGGTGCCATTTAGTTCCTAACTTTCCTATTTCAGTTTCCAACACTGAACACACACATATTGTAAATTACACACACATCACATACTGTATTTTTCGTGTATAAGACTAGGGGGTTTTTAAACCCAAAAAATAGGTTTAAAATTGGGGCTTGCCTTAAACATGGGTAGTGCTGAGGGGTGTTGTTTTTTTAATTTGGAGTCCCCCAAAATAGAGGGTGTCTTATACATGGGGGTATCTTATAGACGGAAAAATACGATACTTATATTACACACACACAGCAAAAAAAATGCTGCAGCACATTCCCCCCCCTCCCAATACCAGGAGTAATCCTATTCCAGCCAGCCGTGCCTTCCCTCCAAGGCACTATTAAGCTGCTCAGACAAGCCAATTCAGGCTTTCCTTCCTTCTTCCAGTTGTTTGTTTTTCTTTTCCAACTGACACTCAACATTATCTGCTTGCTGGGAACAACAGAATATTCATAAATCCTCACTGGGGCTGAGGTATTGGCTTTTTTGAGGGAGGGGGGACTGCCTCGTTTGGTTGCTTTTGTATTTCTGAGCGGCCTGGAATTGAACCAAGCACACCAATACCAACTTCTAGTTCCTAGTGACCCTACTTTTCAACTCTGTTGGCACAGGGTGACTGAGTTTGCTAGTAAGAGTGCTCCTTATATACAATGAAAATGCTAAAGTGTCAATTAAAAGATGTTCTTTATCTGCAACATAAATAATCAGCAATGCACTAACACCAGTAATCCCCAAAGACTTCAGAGTGATGTGTTGTAGGAAATTAATTCATGAAATTAATTCCAATGAGTTCAAAGGCTGCCCACTGCAACTCTGTAGAGTGTCACTGCTCTGAGAGGGCCCAGCCATGACAAAAACGTTGACTCGCATCGAGTCACTGCAGAGTGGGCTTCTGGGAGGGTAGAACATTATTACTGCATACTCGGGCACCAGACAAAAACTTTGCCCATGAGATGTAATCCCATGCACCAGAGATTTTCATCCTTTTTGAGTCAAATGCTCCCTTGACCAACTACATTCTTTCTGCGGCTCTCCTGTGAGGAAATGCGCTCCAAGTCTCCAAAGCCCAATTATGTCATCTCTAGAGCCGGCACCCCCTCACGCCTTTTCAAACACCCTCCCTTGCGGCGTGTTTCCTCAGCGTCCTCTCCTTTCCCCTCTCCTTGGGAGTCCTCTGGCAGCTGGTGAAGGTGAGGCCACCATCTTGAGAGGGCATCAGAAGAGGGAGGGAAGAAAAGTGGGATGGAGTCCAGTGTTGCCTGTGGCACCCCTGACCATCATTCAAGGCACCCCAGGGTGCCATGGCACACTGGTTGAAAACCACTGCCATACACAGTCAAAACTACTTTTAGACATCCTAATTTGCTGGCAATAAGAGTGCAGCATAGCTCAACCCACCAGCCAAACATTACCTGTGCAGACTGCCGCTGGCTTGAACTTACTAGCAGTGATCAACAAGGGAAGGAACAGGAACTGTCACTCAAAGCCAGTGACAATATTCCATTTGCATCCCTGCCCTTCCTCCAAAGAGCTGCAAGCAGCATAAGTAGAGTGCTCCCATTTTATTATTGCAAAAAACATCCTGTAATGCAAATTTGTCTAACAGACTTAGTTTTTATTTTTTACATTTAGCTCCTGCTTTTAAGGAACTCAAGTAAGGAAGCAAAGCAAAGCTGATGGTCTTGATTTGTTTGAGCTAACTAGGAAGAGTTCGAACTCCTAAGTGGGGAACACCAGTTATCTCAGAAAGCTTTCAATTGCCTCCTCTGGCATACAAAAGACAGAGTGAAAGCCCATGGTTTACTAAGACTCACAAATGTAACACTAAACCATGGTTTAGCATTCTGTCTGAACCATTCCATCAAGTAAAAGAAAACCAAACATATTTAAAAACCTAGTAAGAACAAACTGATGAGGAAAGATAGCCGCTAGTACAATTTAAGATATCCATGAAGAATAAAAAGCAAAGAAAATGAAGCAGCCATCATTACTACCTTTCCCACTTTGCACGCTGCCTGCCAAGAAATAAAGTGTTGATAGTCATTTGCTCTGGACAGAATATACGCTCCATAATCTATTCCAGCACACCCATAGCAAATTTAAATGAAAACTGTCCCCTATCTTTGGTAGGCACAAACAATACTGAATCCAATAGTGGAGCAAGCTGGCCAGGATGATTTCTCGAAGTAAACAGCTAAGAGAGACATATGTTATATGAGCCACTTCAAACAGGAAAAAATATTTATTGCTATACTGCATCTACAGCATGAGGTCAATGTGCAATATTGCATCACAGTGGCATACTAGTCTCTCACCTAAACTGCAGGGTCAGGGTTAAGGAGGAAGGAAGGAGAGCAACAAAAACAAAGTAAGATATATTTGAGAGCTAGTTCACAACTACCATCATACACTCGCATAATGAAGGAACAGGGCCTTGAATAGGGCTATGCACATTAAGAGGCAGCTTGGTGCTCAGTGGCTATTACACGAGAGTTTGGCACTGTGTGGCTGTGGATTTATAGGGTTTCATGTAGGGATATTTATCAACCCTACTAGGATGATGCCAGGGATTGAACCTGGGTCCTTTTACATGCAAAGCATGAACAATGGCCCTTCTTCAGCATTAAGTGAATAGCTGCCATTCATCTAAATAAGGGAAAAGTAAACAGCTGCACTTGAGGACTGTTGCAGTGAGGGCAAACACAGCCCTGACACCCAGTGGCATCTGTCCTGACTGACTGGGATCTCTGCAGGGGAAAAGCCTGTATGATAGCAGGAACATTACTAATCCTTTATTTAAAATCAATGTTGTTGTCTGTGCTACACATTTCAATAGGCTATTTATTGCATTTTTACTCCAAGGGCACATGCTCCTAAACCCCCAAACGCCACATTTTATCTCCACAAAACCCTCTAAGACAGACTATAGGTTATGTGCTGAACAGAGTTTTCAGCCCCGGCTGAAAACTTGGTATTCAGAAGCATAGAGCCTCGAAAAAGGAGCCTCTATCTAGCTGTTGTAGCCAGCGGCAACTTAGGGGCCCATCCAGTAATAACATCCAGAGGGGTAGCTGTATTAGTCTGTTGCAACAAAATCAAAAGAGGAACCTTAAAAGACCAAACAATTTACAATTGCATACCGTAAGCCCACAGGTTACACACATTTAACTTGTGCACATTCAGCTTTACATGCTCGGCAAATAATTAATTCCACCCACCATTGCTCCCAATGTGTTTCAACTAGACATGATTTTGGCTTTAGGAACCCCTGTGTAAGCTGTGGGCTTACTGTAATAAGCTGTTGTGGACTACCATCCACTTCATTAGATGCATGAAATTTTACAGGTTACCTGTAACTCAGATATTCTAACCCAATGAAATGGAATATACATCACAGAACCTTCTGCATAACACACAAGATGCAACTACGGCATCTACTTAGGTAGCTTTGAAACAGGGGTGGGGGCTAAATGTGGCCCCCAGGCCTCCTCTATCTGGCCCTTGAAACTCTCTCCAGCTCACACACCCCACCAGCCCTGCTTTACACACTCCTTGAGCGTTTCCCCCTGGAAATGTGTCCTTGAACTCTGGTAATGTTTCTTGCTTGTAAGGATAGAGGAATGTGTCAACCTGATCTTGTCCACCACTGATAAGCAGCTCCTGGAAGGATGTCCAGAAGGATATGGGACCCTCAGACTAAAAAGGGTTCCTAACCCCTGCTTTTAAAAAAATAGACAAATTTATGGAAGATAAGGCTATCAAGGACTACTAACTGTGATGACTATGTCCTCTCTCTCTACTGTCAGAGACAGTATGCCTGAATGCCAGTTGCAGAGAATCACATGGGCAACTTGTCAGCTATTGTGAGAATAGGATGCTGGACTAGCTAAGCCTTTGGCTTGATACGGCAGGGCTCATTTTATGCCATAATAAATTTGTCTTGAAGGTGCCACAAAACTCTGCTGATTTGTCCATGAACACATCTCATTGCTCATGGCCAGCATCACAAATTGCTGCAGAGAATTTTGCAAACAATCCCAATTCCCAATATGGACTGTTTCAAGCCACAACCAGCAGGTGAAACGATCACATCCCGCTGCTTCCAAGGAGAGGAACTAACACACAAAAAAAGACAGGACCTAATAAGGTTGTACAAGATGCTCCCTTCAGCCGAAAGTGCTCGCATGGAAGAGAACATGGTATCAAAACAAATGAATGTGCATTTCCACAAAATATTTAAGAGGAAAAATTAGGAAAGTGTCATGTTTCCTTACTGATCTATCATTCTGTAGTTTTTAATTAACATAGCAATGCAGAAAAAACTACTCCATACTGGAGTTGTAGAAAGAAATATGAATTCCTAGGAAGCCAGTGTTCATTTTATTCAACCGCCCTGGGGAAAAAAATGACCAGGATTTTTTTTTCTAACATAGCTGCTAACAGGAAGGAAATCAGAATTATTAAGCTGGATTTTTCACTGCCAATTGTGTTTATCATCCCTCTTTGGAGGCCTAAATGCCAATATAGAGAATAAGGATTTATTCACTTTTTTTTTTTAGTGGCCACTCGGCATCTGCAACTCAAACCTAGAAAGCCTTACAAGGACCATCCCTGGACTTGAACAGTTTAAAGTAAACGGTATAATTTCCTGTCACCAAGAAAGTACCTCAGTGATACTGGGAATGGACAGTTTTCATGGCAAGATGGTGACGTTTTATTCAATATACAAATGAAAACAAGTCTTAAACGAAACTCTCTGAAGCATCTTTGCAGATATTTGCATCCTGAACATCACAACTTGAACTATATTCTTCCCTGGGAACGACTGTCTGCAACAGGTAAAACAACTTTTGTCCCTGGGACTGTTATATGCTGGACATTTGAAAAAATTGTATGGCACAATAAGGATGATTTATGCTAATGTACAACCTAATAGCCATTTTGGCGGTGGGGGAAATGTAATATACATAGAAACCAGTAACAGCTGTTGCAAGGAAAAGGATTATCAAATTGTGGCTTACCTGATGCGCCAATGGGAGAGGTAGCTGGGGTCATGCTATGAATGTTTAGCCCAAGGTTATGGGGCGCTCCAGAAGGTGGTGCTGCTGCAGGAGGCCCCGGAGGGTTTTCCCTCTGCGGAGACGTAAGTGGTGTGGTGGGCTGAGAAGATGGCCCGCCGGCTAGCCGGGCAAGGCGCCTCCGACGGATCTGCAACGAAACAAGGGTTAAACATTTGTTTAAAAAAAGAGCTTAGGAAAATGCTGATATATAAATCCTCTGGGGTTCTGACAAGGCAAGAAAAAAGAGCTAAGAATAGAACTGGGGTGTATTTCAAGATACACCCAAGTCAGGTCAGGCACATCTTTCCCATGCCACCTGGAGATGCTAGCCGAAGGAAGGGCCTGCAAGAAAGGTATGTTAAGGCCAGAATAATAAGAAGATAGGGAACTGCCATACACCAGGTCAAAGAGTTTGTCCATCTAGTCTAGTATTATCTGTCCCTGCTGACAGCAGCTTTCCAGGGTCTCAAGCATAGAGTATTTTCCCATCACCTCATACCTGGGGTCCCTTTAACTGGAGATGCTAGGGTAGCTTTTTGTGAACTACTAAATGTTCTTGAACCACAACTCCCATAATCCCTGACCACTGGCCATGCTGCCTAAGAATTATGAGAGTTGTAGTCCAACAACATCTAGCAGCCCAAGATTGAGAAAGGCTGTGCTAGGGACTGAGCCTGTGACTTCCTGCATACAAAACAAGCACCCTACAACTAAATTATGACTCTCCTTGGTTCTTAGAATCCAGTGAAGTCATTCCTGTGCTACTGACTGCAGTATTACTCCAAGGCCTGCAGCAATTTGTTGCTGAGGGAAGCTGTTAAGGCAAGACTTTCATTACCTGATGCCCTCCAGATATTTTCCACTACAACTCCATCAGCATCAGCTAGCATGTCCAATTGACAATGATGCCAGCTGGTTTAGCAAAATATGAATGAGCATGGCCTCCTCCAGGGCCTGCATGGAGATCCACCACGCCTTCTCCCATGCAGCTGGGAAGAAAAGTTCAGAAGCTTTTGCTTTTTCTTTCAGTTAACCAGCATTCGTTGTGTTATCTGGATCAAGAAACCATGGTGACCATTAACTGTTGTTAGTTTAAAACAAGGAAACTTCAAACCATGGCTCCTGTACAGCTCTCAAATAAGCGAGCAGGCTACTAGAAATGTTAATATTAACTATAATCCAGCATAACAGTTTTAAAAAGGGAGTGTGAGAAAATAATTACATGTAACTACTGTACAATCAAAACAAATATGAGAAGCAAGTCAATCCAGACAAGGAATACATGGAGCTTGCTTTATTACGTCTTTTGCGTTTTCATTTTGTACTTTTATGTTGTGAACTGAAGAGAGGTATACAAATTTAGTAAGTAATAATATTATTAAGCACAGATTCTGGTCACAACAAACTGTGGTTACCCAAAAAGCAGCAGCTTTCAAACTCATCCTCCCAGCTGTGTGGAAAGAGGGGAGAGGGTGCACATTATGTTGAGAGGAGGCCAGACACAATCACATTTCACCAAATGGTAAGTTTAGCTAGCATAACAACTGAATACAACCATTATCACTGTGACTTTTACATACTGTATTGGCCTGAATATAAGCGTCACTTTCCCCCCCAAATTCTAACCGTGAAAAGTTATAAAGGTAAAGGTACCCCTGCCCGTACGGGCCAGTCTTGACAGACTCTGGGGTTGTGCGCCCATCTCACTTAAGAGGCCAGGGGCCAGCGCTGTCCGGAGACACTTCCGGGTCACGTGGCCAGCGTGACAAAGCTGCATCTGGCGAGCCAGCGCAGCACACGGAAACGCCGTTTACCTTCCCGCCAGTAAGCGGTCCCTATTTATCTACTTGCGCCTGGGGGTGCTTTTGAACTGCTAGGTTGGCAGGCGCTGGACCGAGCAACGGGAGCGCACCCCGCCGCGGGGATTCGAACCGCCGACCTTTCTATCGGCAAGCCCTAGGCGCTGAGGCTTTTACCCACAGCGCCACCCGCGTCCCTGTGAAAAGTTATAGTGCGGCTTAAATTCGCGACCTTAAAAAAATTGGCTTTTACGATATCGCTGCTGATACAGACATACGGTGAAACACAACGGGGGTGAGTGCCTGCAGAATTTTAAGGAAGCGGCTTATATTTGGGTATTGTCTTTTTTCTTCTTCTTCCCCTTGAATTTTAAAGCTGTGGCTTATATTCAGGCCAATACAGTATTACAGACAACAGTCCTGAGGCAGAAAGGGGGATTTGTTTAAGGCCTCCCAGTTAAGTTCATAGCTAGAATGAGATGCAGGCTGGAAACCTCCCAATTCGCAACCCACCATCTTATTCACAAAACAAGCTCTGTTTTCAAGACTGACTACACATTTTAAGATATACAGTGGTGCCTCGCAAGACGAAAAACTCGCTAGACGAAAGGGTTTTCCATTTTTTGAGTCGTTCCGCAAGACGAATTTCCCTATGGGCTTGCTTCGCAAGACGAAACGTCTTGCGAGTTCTTGCGAGTTTGTTTCCTTTTTCTTAAAGCCGCTAAGCCATTAATAGCAGCTAAGCCGTTAATAGCCGCTAAGCTGCTAATAGCCGCTAATAGCCGCAAGACGAAGAGACTCGCGGAACGGATTAATTTCGTCTTGCGAGGTACCACTGTATTCCCTCCCTCGCCCTCAGTTGTTTGGGAATTAGTAGAAATAAATAGAAGGTTCTCCTGCAAGGGCAACATGCTTCCATTCCATTAAGTCATAAAGTTTCTGAACATTCTAGCGATTTACCACCTGGACTTCTATCCTTTCCCCGAGAGATTTCCAAAGAGTATTTTCCCGGAAACTGATACAGAACAACATGTGGAAAACACCATGCGGTGTTCCATTCCCCTGCTCAGATGGGACACTATAATTAGAAGCAGTGCAAGGTTCCCCCCATAAGCCTTAAGCAATGAGGTCGATACCATCATCTCTTCTCCTCTTTATCTTCCAGTAAAACTGCTCTCCATCTTTCAGATCCATAACAAGTTGCATTTTGCAAGCATATTTATGTAGATCATTAATTCACTCAATGTCACACTATACCTCAAAGCAAGCAATATTTAAAATGATTCAAATACAAAATTTGTACAGGATTGCTAGTCCAAAATTCATCATTCATGTGAAAGGCCAACATCAGAGGGGGGTGGGGAAAGACATGACTAGTGGCAGACTGTTCAAACATGCTAACTGCAACTAGACACTCAATTAATAAATTCTTATTGCTGCATTTTCATTGTACACATCAGTTGTTTCCAGAATGATAACACGTTTGTTATATTTGGTTCTGCACAGTGTTTGAAACTTCCATTGTTCTAGGAGCATTTTGCGACATGGAATTTCATTAGGGCGAGCAGTTTCTGAGCTCTGGGCGCAGTACTGTGCCTAAGATTTCAGATTAAAACTGTAGAGTGGAAGGAAAGGAGGACTTTTTTCTGCCTCCCCACTTCCAGCTAATCTTTGAAGACTAGAGAAGAGACCCTCTTAAGAATATTAGGGGGAGTGAGCCATGTGAAAATGAACGTAAGATTTTAGCTGTAGTTCATTCATTTTCAGCTTTGTGTTCTTGTTATAAAAAAGCACGCCTAGACATTCTGTTGTTGTGCCCATAACCTAGGTTTAAGGTGCCATTAAGCTCCTAGCTTTCCTATCTCAGTTTCTAACACTAGTTCTGCATGATGTGAAGCTAATGGTTGATAGCTTTTTTCTTTCCTTTTTGCGCTGCTTCCTGGAGGAGATAAGTGTTCTGTTTACACCACATCAAGTAGAATCATAGAGTTGGAAGAGACCACAAGGGCCATCGAGTCCAACCCCCTGCCAAGCAGGAAGTGACCAACAACAATAAGAATTTCAAAAGATACACAGCGAAATACATTCATTTTATTTCACAAGATATATACCACTTGACTGTAATGAAAACTCAAAAGCGATTAACTTCAGCAGCAGCTAAATTGAAAGGAAGCCCTATTACACACTACGCTCATAGTATGAGGCAAGCTAGTTCTGTTTTGCCAGACAATTGTGATAACTAAATCCTATCAAAAAAACCTTAATATGTCTACCTGTTGTCTTCCTGCAAGATATCGTCAGAACTTGAATTAACACTTCCAGACCAACACACAAAGCAGGTCAGGATATGCTCTCAGCTAGAGATCCAAAAGGAATCTTAACCTGATAAAAGGCTGCTGCATTATCAGAGGACATGTTCTTCTGAGAAACCTACTGAACATCCAGTGCCCGTTTTCACTGACCTGGATCCAAATTAACTCTGCAAACTCAAGGGAGGCTTGGAATTAGGTTGCTCCAATACTACCCTCCCTGTGCCACCCCTATTCTCAAACCGCAGGGAGACTTACAAGCTATTTGTGACATGACATGTTGTAATGGGAGGGGAGTGATTGGGGTGATCAAACATGTAATGGTTAGAGCGTTCAACTAGGATTTGAGAGACCAGAGTTCAAACCCCAACTCACTGTATGACACTGGGGTAACGGCTATAATTTGGGGGAAGGGCCATAGCTCAATGGTAGAACATCTGCTTTGCATGCAGAAGGTCCCAGGTTCAACCCTTGGCCACTCCATGACTGGGACAGAAGAACCCAGCCTGGAACCCTGGCCAGCCACTGCCAGTCTATGTAGGAGAGATGGATCAATGGTCTGACTCAGTATAAGGCAGCATCCTAAATGCCCACTGCTTCTATTTTGCCAACTCCTTTGAAGTAGGTCTCTATATACAAACAGTCCCTAACGTAAGCTGAGAAAGCATCTCACTTCTCCCAAGTAGGGGTGTACTTGCAAGTGCCAATTGAGAATTGGGAGGTTCCAAGTACAAAGAGAAGGAAAGTCCGCTTAAGAAGACATCGCCACCCCCATTTACCACGGTCTTTAAGCATCTTACTTTCCCTGGCTCTGTACCCCCCCCAAAAGGAAATTAACTGGAGGTGGCTCTCCATATCTTTCCATGTAGCATTTAGGTCTGAGAAGTGGACAACAGGATTGGACGGAGAAAGAGAAGAACCCAAAACTCCTTTGAACCAGCCCTCTACAGAATATTTATGGCATGTAAAAATCCTAGGAGACAACACCAAGTGCAAGGCCTTGGACAGTAAGCAGTCTGTGGACTATTCCAGTCCCTTTA